ATGCCGTGCATAATTATATAATTATTGCAATATTCCAATTGATTATTTATTGTTTCTTATGAGTTCCTCTTCTTTTGTGCTTGCAGCTCGCAGTCAAATGAGCGTCAATTTCTGAAGGACTTCATAAGCGGCGCGCCCGGCTCCTCGGGCGCACGTCTGGCCGCCTGGCTGCAGCCGGAGTCGCGCCTGGATCCCAATAAGTGAGTAGCTGCCAAGGCTGTCTATAATCCCCCAAAGTAAAAACCAACTAATCCGACGCATACATTTTCCGTTGCTCTCTCAGATGCGAGCTGAACACGATAACGGAGCCGCTGCGCTATGGCTGGCCCACCCAGGTGACGGTGACGATCCGGGATCAGTATGGCGATGCTGTGCTGGTGCCGGAGCTGAAGGTGGAGATAAAGGCCATACCGACGGGCCCGGATCGCAGCGGCGGCGGCGGACTGGGCGGCAATCAGAAGATGCGACGCACCTCCTATGCGGACGAGGGCGCCAATGCAAACGGACACAGTCTGGGCGCCCAGCTGGGCGGCATGGCGCCGCCGCCGCGTCTCAACTATGAGGCGACCACCAAGGAGAAGATGTGCTTCAAGGCGATCACATTCATGAAGCCCTACACGAACTATTCGTTCGAGGAGCTGCGCTTCAGCAGCCCCATCCAGACGCGCACCACCGAAGCGCTCAACGCCCAGGACATGGAGGATGGCACCTTCAGCGTGCACTGGACGCCCAATTCCGTTGGCGGCTATTGTCTGGCCGTCACCATCGATGGCATACCCCTCGAGGAGGTCTATCGCGTCGAGGTCAAGGAGGGCATGCTGCCACCGCCGACGCAGCGCTCCAGTGCGACACGCCGGCCGCAGGCGCCGAGCAAGCTGCGTCGCTTTCAGGCGCAGCACAGTGCCGGGCTGCGCATACGCTCCCATCCCACGCTGCAGTCCGAGCAGGTGGGCGTGGTGCGGCTGGGCGGCATCATATCGTTCATTGACGAGATCGAAAACGACGACGGCATCTGGCTGCGTCTCTCGACCGAATCCATACGCCAGCACTGCACCATGGGCTGGTATCCGACGGAGGCCTGGTGTCTGCAATTCAATCAGCATCTGACACGCACCCTGCTCCAGCCGGTCAGCGATGCCACAACACCGGCCAAGTCCGGCAGGTGCGCTAAGTCCGGCACAGACACGGCGGAGGCGCCGCCGGCCAGTCCCAGCGGCAGCAATGCGGACAGTCCCAGCAGTCCCGGACGCAGGCACAGCAAATCGCCGACAGAGCGCAAAATCTTTGAGCCCGTCATCGCGTCCAGCAGCAGCAGCTGCTCAACAAATCCCTTTCTGCTGCCCGCCAAATCCAACGAGCAGCTCGACACGGACAGCACACTGGCCACGGCCACAACGGAGCTGCTGCCGGCCAATCTGGGCTCAGCGCTGGCGGGCGTTGTGGGCGGCGGCGCCATCAAGCTGCAGGCGCTACAAAAGTGGTTCAAGGGCGATGCCGGCGACGCAACCGCCACGGATGCCAGCAGTCAGCCAGCCAGTCAGGCGGGCACATCGCCGCCGCTGGCCGCCGTCTCTGTGCGCGAGCTGGTCCGTGTTATGGGCGGCCCGGAGACAACGATGCCGCCGATGCGCGGCAATGGCAATTGTCGCGAACAGGAGCCGGGCGCAGCGGATGCTGGTGGCGGCGACTTTGATATAGCCAGCGTGCGGCGCATGAACTTCACGGCCAGCCAGACGGCGGCGCTGCTGTCGACGCCCAAGCATACGCCGCGGCGTGCCGCCCAGCCGGCCGCCAGCGAGGCGGAGCAGCAGCAGCAGCTGGCCCAGCTGGAGGATGAGCTGAGCGTTCTGCAAATAACGACAACAACAAACGAAGCCAGCGAAACGCAAAGTGAGCTGCAAATTGGTGGCACAGATGCCGCCAATCCAGCGGCCACGTGCTCGAGACGCAACCATGCCATGGGCCCCATTAAGCGTGCAATGCCGCCATCCTTTGCCGAGAGCATACGTGCGGTGTTTGCCGCGCTGCTCTGGCACGAGGGCGTCGTCCATGATGCGATGGCCTGTGCCAGTTTCCTCAAATTTCATCCCGGCCTGCCCAAGGAGGGCGCCACGGTGGTGACGCGTCGCGATCCGAACGATGCCCGGCTGCAGCTGTCCCGCGAACAGAAGGCCCAACAGCGACATTCGGTGGAGGTGGCCAATGCCGGACACTATCTCAATATACGTCCCTCGACGCTCGAAACGCTCGCCAAGAGCGGCAACTGCTCCCTGCACAATCGCAGCAAGCATCGCAAGGCAGCGGCCGTTGCCGCTTCTGGAGAGGATCAGCAGCAGCAGCAGCAGCAGCTGCAGCCGTTGCCGGAGCTGGTGAGCGTGTTGCCGCCGGCTTTGCGCTGCCTGGTTTATCTCTGGGAACAGATCTGTGCCGGCTGTGTGCACATTGTCCAGACGAATGCGCTCGAGCAGCGCGAGCCGCGTCTGTTGTCGCCGAACGGTGCTCGGGATGGTGATCCGGACGCCAAGGGCGATGGCAAAGGCAACGGTGACTTGGGCGGCGACAGCAAGGATCCCAGCAAGAAGGGTAAACGCAAGAAGAAGGACGACGGCAGCTGGTGCGAAATCTGCGAACTATTTCTGCCCATGCCCGTCACATATCATATGCGCATCGCCCATCCCGGCTGCGGCAAATCCGCCAAGGGCAAGGGCTACAATTCCGTGGGCATCTTCTGCGAGGGCTGGGCCGGCAATTGCGGCGAGGGCGGCAAAGGCGCATCCAGCTGGTTCCTCATGTGCGACGCCTGCCGCGACAAATATCTGGCGAGCAGCCGCAGTGCCAACAATGTCAACGCCGCCGCACAACAAGCCGCCAATGCAGGTGAGTGAAAGCGTGAATTCGATGAGGTTTCTTTATTGCCAATTCTCTTTGGTGCGGCATTCGTAAACGTTTTCGTTTGATTTGCCTGTTTGCAATTTTTAACTGTAATTATCGGAGTTTTGCCGTTTCCACCTGCAGCTGTTTCACTGATTCACGATTTTTCACACATGCGGGTGAAATTTCCCCAAATTTCCCTCGAGCTATCCATATCGATTCTAAACGATATCAAGGTTTTTGATCTTCATTGAAGTCACATTGTGTTGTGTTCTGTTTTGCAGCTGCGGAATTGAATCTGTTTGGCGTGAAGACAACCACGCTGATCGCCAACTCGGAGGTCTATACCACCATGCGTGAGAATGCGACATTTTTGCTGGAGCTGTGCTCATCATCCGCTTCCTCCACGGGCAGCCTGCAGCCGAACGCAATCGTGGGCAGCCAGAAGCGATCGCCCCAGCAGCAACAGCAGCAGCAGCAGCAGCAGCAGCAGTCGATGGCCATGCCGGTTGTGGTAGAGCATCAGCATTTGGGCATGCCCGATCTGAATCTGAGCAGCAAGCCGAGCACCAGTCGCGCCGACTCGGCGCGCAACAGTCGCATCGGACGGCTGAGCGGCAAGTTTACGGCATTTCGGAAAAGTTTTGTGGGCGTGCCGCCGGCAACGCCGGACAATGTTTGGCTGGCGCCCGACAGTTTTGCCTGTTTCGAGTGCCTCGGCACCGGCGTCCACGAGGATTTGCCCTACGAGATGTTTGGCCTGGGCGCCAATGCCAATGAGAACGGCTACGATCGGGTGAGTCAGGGCAGAACGCCAAAGTTAATTTATAATATTCTGTACCTTAATGGCTAAAGAATGGGGCATATTGGTCTCTCCGAGCCCGTAAACTATATAGATTCTTGGCTCAGCATCAATAGTCGAGTCGTTCGTCTGTCCGTCCATAAAATTCCGTAAAGATCGGACAATAGGGGCCGAAGTAAATCAGGAAAGGAAGAAGCAGCAAGGGAATGGAAGCTAGAATTATTTCTTGATCGGGATTCAGTCGATGTCCGGCCGTAAAATTCGAAGAATAAATCACGAAAGCATTTCCTTCACCTCACGGGGCTAAAGGAAGAAGCAGCAAGGGGAAGGTAGCAACGCGGCGCGGTCTTGAGCTGGTTCTCTCTCTGCTACCCGGTCAAAGCCGGGTAATTTCCATCACTCAGAAACGTTATTTGATTTCGAAATTTTGTGTTTTGCACAGCCCCTGTCGGAGATCTCGTACGAGTCGTGTGAGCCGAACAACTATGAATTGATGTCCGGCTCTTTGGCAAATCCGACCTCCACTGGCGGCACCTTGTCCAAATTCCATCGCAGCTACTCAATGGGCCAGGGCTGGGCAGCTGTCGCACAACAACAACAACAACAACAGCAGCAGCAGCAGCAGCAGCAGCAGCAACAGCCGCAACTGCAGCTGCAGTTGCAGCATCATCAACAGCTCCAGCTGCAGCAGCAGCCCTCGGTGGTCGCATTGCCGCTGGATGCACAACCGAAGGTTGTGTATCGGCGGCGCAATAATTCGACCAGCGAGGGTGACGGTTCGCTGCTCATCTGCTATCCGTCAGAGCATCTGCGTCGCCTGGTGCCCCCAAAGCTTTTGGCCAGTGTTGCCGTGCTGCCGCAGGCTCCCAACAATGCCAACGATACGCTAACCAAGCCCAATCCGGCCGGGCCGGTCAAGGATCAGCCAATGTCGCAGCAGCAACCGCCGCTGCCGCTGCCGCCGCCGCCGCCGGCGGCGCCGGTTAGTCCGCTGCCGGAACAGAATAGCGCGCTGCTCAGTCGACCCGCAATGGCGTTTATCACACAGAAACACGAACTGGACCGGCTGCGCGGCGCAATGCGACGCAGTCTACGGATCGCCGCCTGTCGCATCTATGCCCTGCAGGCGCTCAACTGGCTGCTGCGCAGCGTGACGCAGGGCGTTTGTCTGCACGATCTGATGTGGTGGTTTGTCAGCTCGCTGGCGCTGGGCAGCTCCGAGCTGGTCGATGGCAAATATGAGGAGGCGGAACCGGCACTGGAGCATCCGGCTGCCTATACACAGATCAGCGGACGCTTTGCACATCTAATAACCCAGTCGCTGCATGTCCTGCTTCAATCGGTGGCAGATCTGACGCTACATTTGCCGCTCGGCTCGCCGCTGCAGCGTGTGGCCATCCAGTGCTTTGGCATACGCTTCCGGCAGGCGGATCATCAGTTTCTGCACAGCTCGCATGTCTTTGGCAACATCTCGAAGATATTGTCCAAATCGGATGAGCAAAACGATGCCATGGCCGTTTCCACATTGCTGGCCGCCACCGGCGAAACGCATTGCGATGCGGAGCATAATATTGCCAGTGCTAGCAATCAGCTGGCCGCTGGCAGTGTGCCCGGCGCCCGGGTCATCTGCTATACGGATCTGTCGGGCATGTTCGAGGTGACGGTCTCCTCACGGCCGGCCATGGCCGAATCCCTGACGGACAACTCAACGGAAACATTCTGGGAGAGCGACGAGGAGGATCGCAACAAGTGCAAAATTATCGAGTTATCCATGAACAAACTCAGCTATGCCTGCAAATTTGTGCTCGTCCACATCGACAACAGCCGCGACATTCAGGTGGGTAAAGACCAAGACAACGCATTTCCTTTCATTTCTTAGTCTTAGTTCCAAGTCAGCTCCTTCTAGAGCTTTCCAATGACAAGCTTAACCGTACCGATAGGTATTAGTAAGGCGTACTCCTTGGCGGCACTTGACTTGCATATAAAGTATTTTCATAGGCACCCTGTATTGCGCTAGCTCGGTAGGGCCCTGTCTGTTTTTGTTCGGTACTGCATTTTAGAATAGGGTGCAGCTCTACTAAGTAGAAATGCTTTTTATTTAGTGTTTCTGGTACCGAATATCTCCTTGATGATATAATAATGTCTCTCTTTTCCAATCATTTCAAATGTGATTATGGTTTTTGACCATAGAGTATTGCACTGTGGAGGGAGGCATACTTTAGTCCGTGACAGAAACTGGTATCAATACTCTTTGAATTGATAAATTATAAATTTGTTGCCACAATCATAAGGTGCTGTTTAAGATCCGGTATGGCATTTCGTTGTTTTATAACTGTCAGTTGCTGTCGGGTACCCACTTGTCACAGAAAGTGCACTACCGGCAACTTTCTGGTTCTTTTACGCAAAGGTGCAGTCGGGTACCCACTTTTTAAATGCCTGGTAGTGTACTACTTTGTCAGTTAAAGCTTGGAACCACTTCTCTACTTTGTGATTTAACGAACAGTTGCAGTTGTTGGGTACCCACTTTTCTAAAAATCCCGGTAGTTCACTTTATTTGTTTTTAACATGCAATTGAAGCCGGGCATTCACCTTTCAGAATTCGGGTAGTGTTCTACTTTGTCCTTGACGAGTTGGGTATCCATCTTTGCAGAGTGTTTGTAGTAAACTTTATCAATCTTTAACATGCCGGTAGAGCACTATTTTGTCTATTGACGAACGAAAAATGCACGCAGAATTAAGCATATCAAAAACTTTCTGCTTAATCTCGACAGAACAAGGTGCTGAATGTGGTATTCTATGCGGGCCAGTCGCTGGGCGATACGAATCTCATCAAGACAGTGGACGTGGACCAGAAGGCGTGCGTGTGGATTGCGGCCAAGATCAGCGACGAGACCTGCACGCACTTTCGACTGGAACTGCACGGCCCGGAGAATACGCTGCGTGTGCGTCAAATCAAGCTGCTCGGTCTGCCCAGCTGCCAGGTGGGCGCCGGTCACGAGGAGCCGCCGGCGGTCGAGCAGCGGGCCAATGTGCGTTTGGCGCACGCGGCTCGCATCCAACAGCAAATCTGCGAGGCGGAAACGTTGCGCGTATTCCGTCTAATCACCGGCCAGGTATTCGGCAAGCTGATCAGCAATGTGAGCGATGCGGTGACAGCAACTGGCGCAGCCACATCGGAGGCAGCCAACTCAATGCTGGCAGATTCGCTGGATCTGCGCGAACATATGGTTGGCATTCTGTTCTCGCGCAGCAAGCTGTCGCATCTGCAGAAGCAGGTGATTGTGCATATTGTGCACGCCATCAAGAAGGAGGCGCAGCGCGCCAAGGAGGACTGGGAGCTGGCCAATTTGGCACATGTGCTCAAACAGCAGCCGCCTCCGCCGCCGCCAGCAGCAGCAGCTGGAGCAGGAACTGCGGCCGGATCAGCCGCTGCCACGTCCAGCGAGAGCAGCTCGGAGCGCAGCCGCGCACCGGACACCTATTGCTTCGAGATGCTCAGCATGGTGCTGGCCCTGTCCGGCAGCGTTGTGGGTCGCTCGTATCTATCGCAGCAGCACGGACTGCTGCGCGATCTGTTGGGCCTGCTGCATACGGGCAGCGATCGGGTGCAGCGGCAGGTGACGGCGCTGCTGCGTCGCATTCTGCCGGAAATAACGCCGGAGAGCTTTGCGGATCTGCTGGGCGTGCAGCGTTTGCCGCCAGCCGATTATAGTATTGCACATCAGAGCGCCAGCGATTTTGACATGAGCCGTTTGGGCTTATTGGACATATTTTTGGCCGTCATTGCCAAGTCGCTGCAGCTGCAGGTCAAGGTCAAGACGAACACAGCGAATGCAGCTGGCGGCGTCGCTGGAGGCGTCGGTGGGGGCGTGCCTGCGGCCAACGTCAAGTCTGGGCAGCTGGAGAAGACGCCCGCATTTGTGCGGCTGTGCAGCTCCCTGGATCTGTCCGTGCAGCTGTTGCGCTCACGTCCAACCACAGCGGAGCAGCAGCTGGCGGCGGCACCGGCGCCAAGCACAACCAGCGATCCGTTTCGCTTTGACTCCGCACCGCCCAAGAAGGAGTCCAAGCGCAATTTGAACCAGCGCTGGTTCCTCAACGGAGTCATTTCCACCAAACAGGCGGAGAGCATCATTGGACTCATACGCGATCTGGCTAGCGTAAGTAATTGCATTGATATTTCTCAGATGTTGCAAATGGAGCTAATAATACACTTCTTTGCAGGGTAAGCTGAGCGAGAAGTGGTCCCAGATCACCAAGGCGGCCATTGCTGAGTCTGTCCTGAATCTGACACGGCTCGAGGAGATCTACCGCACGCCGGAGCATTGCACAAAGACGGCAACACTGTGGCTAGCGCTGGCCAGTCTCTGTGTGCTGGAGCGTGATCATGTGGAGAAACTGTCATCTGGACAATGGTCCAAGCTCTGCGACACCCGACCCATGTGCACCAATCATGACGATGGCGAAACGGCGGCCATCATTCAATGCGAAACATGCGGTTCGCTCTGCGGCGATTGCGATCGCTTTCTGCATCTCAATCGCAAGACACGCACACATAAGCGCACGGTAAGTCGAATCATTTTAGCAGTCAATCAAGCAACATTCATATTTTTAAGTCAATCAGCTTCATTCATTCACTATATCCATAAATTGATGCATCAATAATTCTATTTATAATTGTTAGTCAATCAGTTGGGCCAAGCTTCAATCAGTCAATTATTTTATGAATGTCCATAAATTTATATAAATCCTTCAATCAATCCCTTATTGCACCAATTAATTATCCAATCAATACATCAATTAGTCTATTCTATATCAAAAGATTAATTATTAAATATACCAAGCTTTACGAATCATTCAACGAACCCATTGATATTACTTATCTTTAACAGTCCATTAACCAATTAAAAATTGTATCGATAAGGCCCACCATGAATTCGCCACATTGTTGATTGTCAACCAATTTGTCAATGAATAAATCATATCTTGCATTGAACTTCTCAGATAACAAAGTATACAATCATTTTGATGGTCAATCAGCTTGTCATGCAATCAATCATATACTTTAATCAATGAAAGTTTATATTTTATTCTTATTGATCAAACAACGTTGCACTTGTAAAAAAAAATGATGCATTTAATCAATCAATCAAGCTTTGCATTCATCACACTGATTGATGATTATGCAATTTATGTTTTTTAATCAATCAATCAAGCACTGAGTTCATCAAAACACCAAATTATGTGTTATTTTTTGATTATCAATCAATTTGTTGCTCAATCAATTAGTCATTTTTATCAATCAATCAATCAAGCACTGCATTCATCAAACAAGAAATTCTATTCATATATCACTTTTCAATCAATTATGTAAGCACTCAAATAACTATTCATATATTTGCTGGCGATCGATCAATCAATCAATTTATGTTTTCATCAACTTAACAGGTTTGCAAGGAGGAGGAGGAGGCCATACGCGTGGAACTGCACGAGTCCTGCGGCCGCACCAAGCTCTTCTGGCTGCTCGCCCTGGCCGACTCAAAGACGCTGAAGGCTATGGTTGAATTTCGCGATGGCAGCCACACGATCATCTCGGGCCCCCAGGAGGCTGTGGGTCGGTGTCGGTTTTGCGGGCTCACCGGCAACTCGGGCCTGCTGGAGATTGGGAATGTGTGCGCCGATGCCCAGTGCCAGGAATATGCAGCCAATTCCTGCCTCAAGACAAAGCCCTGCGGTCATGCCTGCGGCGGCGTGGCCGGCGAACGCAAATGCCTGCCCTGCTTGCAGCATGTGTGCCATGCCCGCGAGAATGAGCTGGCCGAGGAGCTGCGCGATCCCAAGCTGACACAGGATGCGGACGACATGTGCATGATATGCTTCGTGGAGGCCGTCTCTTGCGCGCCATCCATACACGTAAGTGGAAAAATGATGACCCAGACAAATGCCAAGTCAGCTAATCTCTGCCTCTCTCTTTTCCTCTCTCTCTCTCTCTCTTTCTCTCTCTAACCAGCTGGAGTGCGGTCATGTGTTTCACTTTCACTGCTGCAAGGCCGTGCTGGAGAAACGCTGGAGCGGACCGCGGATTACCTTTGGCTTCTCGCTGTGCCCCATCTGCAAGGCGGACATACAGCATCCCCTTTTATCGGACATATTGGAGCCAATCAATGGACTCAAGCAAGATGTCAAGCGCAAGGCGCTCATGCGGTAAGTCCCATGAATCAAACCAACATCCACATTCAATTTCCACGAACAAGAGCGAAAATAGAAAATGGCTAAAAAAAATGTTGACCCTGGCTAAAAGCCAAGCTAACGATTTCGAGCAACCAATTCACCGAACTGTGCGGAAAATGTGTGAAATCTATTTCTCTATATGCATTAAAGAAAATCTCGCTTATGCACGGAATAAGGGTGGAAAACGTTGTTAACTTTATAAACTTTTTCATATGCCTGCAGAGGTTGTAGAGTCTGTTATGATTTTATCACGAAATGTGGTATTAGGGAATGATCGGAAATTATAAAAAACATGCTTTTGTTTTGAGATATTTTGAAACAATTTGGTATTTGAAAAATCGGTACCCAAAATCGTTTCCACAACGTACTGCAATATCATTAAACGAATTCGGAGTATGGCCAACTTTTCTGTTAATCAAGATATGTACAGCTTCGCTTTTCGGCTAATATATCTGCAGAATTGTGTCAAATGGCTTGACTTTATTATATGGCAACATTTCCAAGCCATATATCTTAGCAGTTCTTTGTCATAGCCACTCATTGGAGGCGTTCTCGTTAAATTAATACTTCTAAATTCACTTACACATTCGGAAAAGGGGTGGAAATGCATCAAAACCATTAAAACACAGACAGTTTCGTCACCAAGACCAGCAATAGCAGCTAATTGTTACTTCCAAATGTTTTAACCCCAAACAAAAGCATCAAGTACGAGGGCGTGGTCAAGGATACGGACAACAAGGATGTGACACAGCTGGCAATGGATCGTTATGCGTATTACGTGTGCTTTAAATGCCAGAAGGCCTACTATGGCGGCGAGGCGCGCTGCGATGCGGAAATTGGCGAAAAATTCGATCCCGAGGAGCTCGTCTGCGGCGGCTGTTCGGATGTGGCGCGCGCCCAAATGTGCCCCAAACATGGAACCGATTTTCTTGAATACAAATGCCGTTACTGCTGCTCGGTGGCGGTGTTCTTTTGCTTTGGCACCACCCACTTTTGCGATACGTGCCACGATGACTTTCAGCGCCTGACGAACATACCCAAGATCAAGCTGCCCCAATGCCCCGCCGGGCCCAAGGCCAAACAGCTGCTGGGCGACGAGTGTCCCCTTCATGTCATCCATCCGCCCACCGGCGAGGAGTTCGCCCTCGGCTGTGGCGTTTGTCGCAATGCCCAAACATTTTAGCAACTGCGTGCCAAGAAACTGCAGCTGGAACTTAAACTGGAACTGGAACTGGAACTGGACCTGGAACTAGATCGATCGCCAGCGGAACCGCCGCCGCCGCCAGAATACGCGTCTAGAGAGGACGACTTTTAGACACACACATATATATATATATATATATATATATATATATATATATGAAGAGAGAGCGGGAAAGAGAGAGAGAGAGCGACAGCGAGCGAGAGAGAGAGCGCAATTAGGCATAATAATTATATACATATGTATGTAAATTATCATAAATGTTTTTTTTTTTATATAAATAATATATATATATATATATATATAAATATATGTATGTATATTTATTATATATTTCAAAAGTTGCAATTTTTAGCTATATGTGTATTTAACTAAATTATTTATTTATTCTAATTGTAATCTAAATGGCATTTTTTTTATTATTTATTTTTATTGCTTTAACTCAAATTTACACACACCCACAGACACACATACACACACACTAAACACACACTTCACACACACACACACACACTACACACACACACACACACACACACACACACACACACACACATATACTCTTAAGTAGGTTCGAAAGAAATGGTTACGGGAATTGGGCGTGGTTCTTTATAGTTGTGTAAAGATTGATTGCGGGGAAATATATAAAAAAGAAAAATCAAATAAAATATTAAAAAAAAATTAAAAACATTAAAAAATAATGAAAAAAAACGAACAAGAAAGAAATAAATGCATACACCGAAAGAAATATATTTACACACATGCAATATTATTTGTAATACTCACAGAACAGACTCATTTTCTTATAATATATTTTCCATTCGCTGAGAATGTTAACAAAATTAATGCATATTTATATACAATTTATTGTAATAACTCAATAATGTTTATTATGAATGTGACAAGAAACCAAAAGAAACAATAAATAAATAAATCAGCAAATGTAATTAAATATATGAAACGAGATCTTCTGGTTAATTCCCGAAGTAAACGAAGGGGAAATCTACTATCTACTATAGATTATATAGTATAGATATGTATATATGTACGCTCATCAGAGAGAGTTGTGCCGAGAAATTTTCCGGAAAAAGAATTAATAATTTGATAGTTTTGAGGGGTATTGGAGAAAATCCTGTGTATAGCACTATGCAAATCTTGGCTACTGTTAAAATTGATCAGTACTCCTTAGAAATATTATTTCATGTAATAATGGATAAGTTTTTGAAATACGATGTATTGATAGGCCGTGATATACTCGGATTAGGCTTTGGAGTCTCCATCGAGGCCGACAAATTTGAAATGTACAAAACCAAAACTGTTGATGTACTAATAAAAGTGCCAGATATAAGTTACGTAGAGCATCTGAATAACGATAGAGCATTAAGCAACACTGATAAGAATCGTCTGCTAGAATTATTGCAAAACTATGCTGATAAATTTATTGAGGGTATTCCTCAAACGCGAGTGACTACGGGTGAACTTGAAATCCGCCTGCTTGACCCAAATAAAACTGTACAAAGGCGTCCGTATAGGTTAAGCATAGAAGAAAAAGAAGTCGTGCGAAATAAAGTAAAAGAATTGTTAGACGCAAACGTTATACGTCCTAGTTGCTCTCCATTTGCAAGCCCAATGCTGATGGTAAGAAAGAAAAATGGAACCGATCGACTATGTGTCGATTATCGGGAACTGAATGCTAATACGGTCGCTGACAAATATCCGCTGCCTTTGATTTCTGATCAAATTAATAGACTGAGTGAAGGCAAATATACACTTAGTATATTGATTTATATTTTTTCTTTTTCTACCCTTGTAGAGGGTATTATTATTTTGTTATGAAGGATCTAACGCAACGCATACCAGGAGACGCCTCCGATCCCATAAAAACTATATAAGTATATATACATATATTCCAGATCAGCATCAATCGCCGAATTGGTATTTCTCAACATGTTATCAATATTGGATCATTAGCTCTACGAACAGAAACAACTCTTACCTTTGGTTTTTTTTGGACGTAACCTATAAAGATGTAGTATTTATTTATTTATCTATTTATCTATTTTTCCAATTCAGATCTTAAACGTTCGATTCTAAGTCTTCTTTAAATACCCTGAACCCATTAAAAATGGGTATAAGGGTACATTGTAAAGTATATATATTCATAATCAGCATCAAAAGCCGAGTCGATCTAGCCATGTCCGTCTGTCTGTCTGTCCGTCTGTCCGTATGTATGAACGCAAGGATCTTAATACCTATAAGAGCTAGAGACTCGGGAGCTCCCGACTAGAACCTCTTACTTGTTTCAAGATATCTTTAGGAGTCAAGAACTAAGAGCTTAACTATTCCATAACTATATCAAATAATTGGTCGTCTATAGGATAGAGAAACGAATATATAAATAATTCAATTTTCTCCCCATTCGAATAAACTTTTTAATAAAAGAATCTAGCTATTGCCATAAAAAATTTGCTTTGAACTTTCAGGTCCAATCAACCCTGCTTAAGGACTCTTAAGAACATGTTGAAAATAAAATCTCCCAACATTTGGGAAAGCTCTCGAAAAACCATCCAAAACTTTTGTGGAATGAACAAAAAAAGCAGCTTGTTTTTAAAAACATGTATGTATTTGTTTTTTTGTTTTATTTTGTTTTGTTTTGTTTTTTTTTTTTTATACTTCCCATTTTCATCAGCATTTTTCACTTGTTCTGCATATTCTTTGCTGTGTTTGGATGTATTTATTTCATGTTTTTTTGTTTTTTAATATTTATCATAATGAATGCATACAGATAATATTTAATTCTTTTTTAATTAATGCTTCCTCAACAAAGTCAAGAATTTATTAACATGAATTTGTGTGTGTAGCTGTGTGTGTGTGTGTGTGTATATGTGTGTGTGTGTGTGTGTATGTGTGTGTGTGTGTGTGTGTCTGTGTGTGTGTTTGGGTGTGTGTGTATGTGTCTGCGTGTATGTGTTTGTGTGTGTGTGTGTGTGTTAATATCAATGTTAATGTCACAATAATTAATTAACTATACACATTAATTACAGCATTAATTAATTGATTTTTCAAATAAATTTAAGTACTATGTTTTATAAATTTATAATTTTTGGGGATTTACTATAATTTGTTTTTCCTTTCTTTTTTGTTTTTATTCTTAATTTTTTTTGTTTGTTTTTTTGGTATTTTTTGAATTGGTTTTTCATAAGTTCAGCTTTGTTCTGTTCAAGCATTTTGCGGTATTTCGTATTACCTAAATATGCATTTGTAAATCTCGAAGTTTTCGTGCGCCATTGAACGAAGAAACTTAATTTTGTTTACGAACGTCCTATTTATTATTGGATGCATTTATTTTGCTATTTTGCACCCTGAACCCAGCCAAATCATGTAAAATTGGATTTTATGATTTTATAGATAGATATATATATAAAGACGAATCGATCTAACGATCGATGTCTCTGTGACGTTGATCTGCAAATCGTAGACTTTTGAAATCAGCATATCTCGAGGTTTATAAGCTAGAGTCTAGCTATTTGGTGTATAGACTTTCGTCTAGTATGCACAGATACCGAATTATTTGAATTATGGGATTGTAGGCAATGTATTTTTCGACGTATAGTCTTGGACTTTATTATTTGCACACATTTGTATGTCATGTTTATTCCCTGAAAATTTTATAAGGATCGGACCATAAAGACCGGAGTTCGACAAGAACATATTTACCATAGCAGGGTGCTAAGGAAGGAATTAACAGGGTTGCTTCGCAAGCAGCACTGCAAGCAGTGCAAGTGCCAGCAAGCAGCGCAGCAAGCAGTGAAGCAAGCAAAGCGCGTGCATGCCTGTGTGTTTGCTTAAAGGGTAGCTATTGCTAGAACGTTTGCGACGGCAGCTCGGCGCTGGGTTCAGGATATCAACTAGTCGTGCAAGCCCGACTAGAGCATACACTGCTTTCACGTTTTTAATTATTTTTTGTCTGTTCATTTGTTTGTAAATGTACAAATAGGCAGCTTTTTCATGTTCAAAAACAAAGGGCGCGTGTGAGAAAACATTTTTATGAATCCATTGTTCAAATTCTTGTATAATACATATATATATATATATATATATAAATATATATATTATATATATATATATTTTAATTATGTTCATCAAATTGGTGGAAATAGTTTAATGTTCGATTTCTTGGTATTGTTTTTCATTTTTCTCCATCGTTTTTCTTTCTTGGTTGTCGATTTTTGTAAAATTTTGGTTCTTTTTCGTCTAGAGACTAGAAACTAGCGTCTAGCGCGTAACGCTTAGTATTTTGTTTCAGTATGTTTGCAGTATTTTTGTTGTATCTTTTCGCTATGCTTGCCAGAAGTGTTGGGTTTTTCAAAAAATGTTTTGGTATTCAAGTGTTTAAGGCTTTGGTATTTTGTATACACATATATATGTATGCATGTATATATATATATATATATGCATATAGTATGTATAATTTAATTACAATCCATTTAGTTGTTGTATACATATTTCATAATAAAGTGGCATGTTTTTCTTTATTTTTTGTTGGTATTTCTTTAGTTTTTTTTTTTTGTATTTGTTGTTTGTTTATCGTATTAATATCTTCATATATTATTTTTGGTATTTTTTCTTTAATGAGTTTGCTTAGAAAAAAAATTCTGGCGTATAAAAGCTTTTTAAGTTATATGTATATATGTTTTTTTCGGGTTTTTTTCATTAATCGTATTTTTTTGTGTTCATCTGTTTAAGCTTTAAAGTGTTTAAAGTGTATGCGGTATATTTAGTATATTTTAATCCTTTTTTTTTGTCAGTTTGGCGCTTCTAAGCATTTGAAGCAGCTATGTCTATATGTATACATATATGGTATGTATATATATAGTGTTTACATGTATATACATTCGATATCTGGCATAAATTCATCATAGACTTGTTTAATTTCTTGAATATATTCTAGTATCCGTTAGTATTTAGTTGGGTGAGCCTGCTGAGTTACGCAATTCCTCGTCTGTCTGGTGTATAATATTATGTAGACATGTATATATATATATGTACATATAAATATATATATATATATTTATATATATTTATAAATATCGTAGGTAAATATCTGATCTTATTTATCATATATTTTACTTTCAATATAAATTTTGACTAATTATCGCTTGCATTAAGCGTGAACTATAAATTGTAATTGCACCTTAATTTGTTTGCGTTCGTTTTTTTCAGTTTTTTTTTGTATTTTTGGTATTTTTTTGTATGTAGGTATTAAATTTGTATTTGTTTTATATATCATGTATGTGGTTAATTGGTTTATTCATAAGTGTATAAGGCTCTGTGTATTTATTTAGCACTCAAAACTCTCAAAAGGTGACAACAAAATATACCAAAAAAATACTAAACTGGTATGTGAAAATTGAATGCCGCTGCGAGTTTATGAGCTGGAAGCGAAAGCGTGGCGCAAACGCTGTTCATTAATTTATTTTTTTTTTTTATGCGTACTACTTATTTTGGTTATTTTTTTTTTTTCATATATTTTATGCAAAGAAAAGTCCGTTGAACAAAGTTTCAAAAACTGTTATACAGTTTTAACTCTAGTACCGCTAGTCATAATTCAACTATGCTAAACTATGCTATATATATATATATATATATATATAAATTTGTCTAGGTAAGTTACCTCGCCATGCTTCTGGCCTGTACCATATGCGTGGTATGTACCACACAAAAAAAAAAATACCCTTTAGAGTATGCTTATGTTTGTTTCTTAATGCTCTAACGCTAGTTGAGTCATTCAATTTGCCATTTGACTAGTGCGCCTTAAACTGAGTAGTTTATTATTACTATTAGTATTTTATTAGTATTATTTATATTCATATTCTTGTGGACTACTAAGAAAAAAAAAATACCATACGACTATAAACCTTAACTTCTAGACTATGTATACACAATGAGCCCACAGCTAGTTTCTGTTCATAGTACATATACATATAGATATATATAAATAGATGTATGTATATATATATATATATATATATATATATATATATATATATTTGGGGGGAGGGGGGTAGGAATTGTTCTAAACATATGCAACAAATTTCGAATATATTTCTTGCTTTTTTTTTTTTTAACATTATTATCAAAATTTTTGAATGAATATCATTTTATGTAAAATTTGAAATCTATGCCATGTTTTTTTTTTTATGTACATTTTATAATGGAAATTAAACTCAGTTTTTTGGTTAATACCACTTGAATTGCTTTTTGGTTGCTGGCAAAAAAAAAATATTTCCACACTTAAAAAAAAAAAATTGACATTGAGTAAATTCAGTAAAAATTTGTCAATTTCGTTTAAAATGTTCCACTGGAACTTTTTTCAAGTTAATTTGTTTGAGAAATTTGTTTTCAGTGTAGTCGCAACTGTTGAAAGGATCTTAAGTGCGATTTGGGCTATGTTTGTGTTGTTGTTGTTGGTTTTTTTTTTCGGTTTTAGTCAGCCGAATTATGTAGAACTAAGTAAAACTAACTAAGTAACTCGCTACAGTACCAGAACTTTAAGGGAAGACAACAATTCGTATTGCTTTATGTGTGTGTGTGTTTGTGTGTGTGTGTAACTTGTTCAGGGTTCTAACCAGAAACTGAAGAACTCAGACTAACTATGGAACTAACATAATGCCAACTATATAAATCTGAAACATTCAAGTGGGCCAAGAGAAATAACGCGCTTAAGTGTTATGAAACCTTTGCAATATATATGTATATATATGCATGTGTCTGTCTCTGTGTGTGTGTGTGTGTGTGTGTGTTGTTTTTATGCTCCGGAACATATGTCCAGTTCAAAAATGAACAAAAAAAAAAAAACTGTATTATATCTTTAAATTTTTGATGCTCGAATTAAACAATTATTCTTTTTTTTTTCTTTTAACAATTTTTTTTTTTCTGTTTTCCCTTAGTTGATTATAAGTGCAAGCGTTTTGGTAATTGAGGCGCGCCTAAACCAATATTATTTAAATGTTTTATTTAATTTTTTTTTATATTTTTTATAGTATTTCACTTTCTTCTTATTATCACAAAGTATTTTATGTATGTGTTAAACAATTGGAATTTGTAATTAACATTTGTTGTATTTACTCGTTAATTTGTGTTTATATCATTTGCCCGTCTTTTAATTTGCATTTCAAATATTTACATAAACAAATATTCTTTTTTTTTTTTTTTCTTGCATATTATGTACACGTTCGTTTTTCATATAAATATGTATATACAAATATTTGTTGATTTTATTTTTTTGTTTTGCTATAATTTTTTGTTTTTTACTCGATTTCTGTTTTGGTTTTTGTTTGTTTTGGGTTTGTCGATTGTCGTTTCGTTTTGCGGCAACAGTTTCTTGTGTCCTTGTTGATTTTCTCTTTTGTTTTTGTGGCTGGGTTCTTTCGTATAGTTTGTTATTTTTGTTAGTTAGTTAGGGCATGTTTAGCAAGTGCTCGAGCTGTGTTTAGGACGGGTAACTTGACAATGTAAACCAGTTTGGGGCGGCTGGCTGGGCCACGCCCCCAAGCATATACTACACAAGTGCAAGTGAGTATAGCTAAAAAAGAAACAACTCGATACCAAGTGCTTTGAGTATCGAAGCTAGGCATAGTACAGCCGAGTCTTGGCCGAGAATGACTGACTTAACACATTACTTTTTCAGCAGGAAACTCAGCGATACGCTTGAATATTGACATTTCGATAAAGTGAAAAGCGGCTTCAAATGTTGTTTGTTGACATTTTCTACAAATTTCTAGTTAACCATATGCAACAAATAATTTTCAGATTATGTTCGACAATTGGAACTGAATTTTAGTTGATTAGTAGAGACACATGTAATTATACTTTTAGGCTGGCTAAAAAAAAAGTTGCAACAGAGCTGGTTAATTTGTTTGAATTTTGATTATATTCTACTTAAAAATATCTATAATATCTGAGCCGGTTTGCCACTGCAATCGATCCATTATAATAATATTTTATGGAACTGAGCCTCAAGTGAGATTCCAAAAATGACATCTATACATATATTTATATATATATATATATATATATATATATATATATATAACAAAATTCTGCTGGGTTCGGCTCGAAGTAACTATTTTTTCTTAGTAGCGCTGACTTCTTTTAGTTTCTTGTTTTTTTTTTTTTTTTAGCACATTCTACTTGTATGTACAATTCACTGGCATTTTTTGCTGTTTGCCTGCTTTAGCGTTTATCACAAAAATATTCATTTACATCATGTATATCATGCATACATCATGTGTGTGTGTGTGTGTGTGTGTGTGTTGTATAACTAGTTAGTTCGCCTCTGATCTGATCTAATATAATATTGTTCGTATATAAAGGTAAATAATTGCAGTAAATGTAGCAAATTCGTAAGCAATATGCTATATGCTTAATGCCTTAATTCATAATCAAAAACGAGCATCTCAGCTCCTACATACATCATCAGATACATCAGAGATCGAGAGAGAGATAGAGAGAGAGGGGAGAGAAAAATTTGTACCGCTAGCAAAATGTTGCCTGCGCGTCAGGTTAGAGCGAGAGACATAGAGAGATAGAGCATTAAGTGCACGTGTTGGGAGAGCGAGAGTATGAGAGCAATCAGTCAATCAATCAATCAAACAATCAATCAACCGATTGCCCAAAGCGTCAGCGTCAGCGGGTTTGTGTAGTATAAAAAGAGACACTTCCAGAAATAGACAGGTAGATAGTGAGTGCGAGTGTACGTGTATCTAAAATAGTTGACAGCTGCACATACATCGTGTATACATAAATATATATATATATATGTATATATATGTATATATATGTATATATGTATATATAGGTATATATAAATATAGAGCTATACATCATATAAGGACTTGGGCATAGACAATAGATTGTATGCACAATCTATGGACTGGAGACTAGCGTAAGCGTATGCATAGGCAAACTCTGAATGGCTTGGGCCCCCGATCCGCGTCAGTCGGCGCAATTGTTACTGTTCGAAGCTGCTGCTATCCGCCGACTGATGGCGCACCAATATTTTGGGCTAGAGGAACTCTCGCTTGATGCTCCGTCCGCTGCCCGTTGGCGTTGTTGTCGCGCTTGTTGCTGCTGCTGCTGCTGCTGCTGCTGTTGTTGTAGTTGGCGTCTGTGTGCCGGGCGGCGGTGTGCCGACTGTTGTTGTGGGCGTGCCAGCCCGACTGGCCGGCATCAGCTGGGCGGCACTGAAGTCCTCCTCGAGCAGACGCAAATGCAGCAGCTCAACAGCTGGAGTCGTTGCTGTTGCTCCAGTTCCAGTTGCAGTTCCAGTTCCGGTTGCAGTTGCAGTGGCAGACGCTGACGCTGTCACGCTCGTCGTACCAGATCCAGTGACAGATCCAACAGCAGCCGTTAGCGTTGCGGCCGTTGCGGCGTGTGTCTGCTTAGGAGGCGCCGGTGCTTTCCTGCTCTTCGAGCGTCGCTTTTTGAGCATCAGCGGCCCCAGGCCGTTGCCTCCCGTGCTCGACACAACTTGGACGCTTGGATTTAGTAGACCGCTGCCAGCGCCAGCGCTCGCTGTTGTTATGGCTGTGCCGCCGCCAGCTGTCGGCGATGAGATCGTTATCACAGTGTCCACCGGCGTGCTGGCAGTTCCCGTTCCCGTTCCCGTTGCCGTTGCTGTTGCTGTTGCTGTTGATGTTGTCGGTGTGCCCGTGGCCGTTGCTATTGATGCTGCTGGGGCGCCGCCAGCGACGCAACCAGCACAGATCTCGTCACCGGGCGTTGTCTGGCCGCTGCTGTCCATTTGGGGCGCCACTCGCTTAACCAGCTCACCTAACAGATCCTCGATGCGGCCGATGCGCTGCTGCATGCGCTGCAGCTCGAGCCGCACATCCACCTTCATGTCCAGCACGGTGGCAATCAGATCGCGCTGCGCCAGCGTGGGCGGCGTCTCGCGCAGCCCCGTATCGTATGTGTCCGATGTGGTTGCACGCGAGCTGGCCATCTCGATCTGGCGCTCCCGCTCCAGCGCCAGATTGCGCTCCTTGCCGACGCCACTCGCTGCCGTTGCTGCTGCTCCAGCTGTCACGCCGGACGCACTGGCCGTTGCGCCAGGCGCCAGCGTAGCTGCGGGCACCGTGGCAACAGTTGTTGCGGCGCCGCCATCGATGACCACCCGGCTGTCACGGCTGGGCGGCGATGAGTCAACCTCGCCGCCCTCGTCGATGGTGTCCTGGCGGGCCAGCGTCGCCTGGCTGGCCTGCAGCTTGGGCGCCTTGGGGAATACCTGCAGGGTGACGTATTTAATGGATGCATAGCGGGATGCAGAGGCGTTTCGGACAGGCAGTTAGACGGTAGTTTGACAGATTGACAGTTTGGCAGTTTGACAGATTGAAGGTGGTGACAGTTGCGATCGGTGACGATGACAGTTAATGGCGGGCAGGCGGGCGGGTTTTGGGGTTTGTTAAATCATTCGTTTTGTTTTGTTTTTTTGTTTTGTTTTTTTTTTTTTTGGGACAGGAGAGAAGTGAGAAAAGTGGATTTACATTTATGTTTGGTTAAAGTTGAATTTGTTGTTGTTGTTTGTTGCGCATTCAAAGTTGGTGTTTTTTTTTTATAGTTTTGTTGTTGTTGTTGTTGTTGTTGTTGTTTGTTAAAGGTGTTAATGGTGCAGTTTGATTTCCAATCGTTTTTTGTTTTTTTTTTTGGCGCGCATTTTGTGCGCCAAAGTTGTTTGCAGCATCCAATTCAAAAAGCGAATTCAAATTGTTGTTGTTTGTTGTAGCAAGGCAAGCAATGTTATTAATTTTTTTGTTTGGTTTGTTTATAGTCGTTTGTTTTTGGTTTTGTTTGCAATTAGTTGGTAAGCAATAAACGAAAAATAGAAACATATCAATCGATTTAATAGTCATCGCAAGAAACTCTAATTGGCAGCTTTTGCTAATCGTGTTCGGTGCAAACACACACGGACACATACATGCGCACACGACCACGTTCAGTGGACGCGAGTGTGTGTGTGTGTGTGTGTATGTCGTGTGTGTGCGTATGTGTGGGAGCAGAGCAGCGCACTAGACTTAAATGTCAACTAGGGAAGGCAAACAGACAAAACGGCGACGCATTGCTGGCACGAGCAATATATCGATATGCTTATCGATAGGCACATGCACACTAGATCCAAGAAAAGTATCGCATGGCAGCGATCAGCACTAGAGTTGGGCGCGAGTCGTGATATCCCTTGACGATATTTTCTTATTGAAATATGTATCTAATGCTGTGCAATTGCATATTGAGCAGTTTTCAAATCAACAATTTGTGTTAATATTGAAGCTTTAAATAATCATAGCAGCCCGAAATGAACAAATCATAAAAGTTCACAGTAGAAATGAAAATTATGAAAATAAACAACATATTAAATTAACGCAAAAATAAGCATTACAAAAATGTCATGCCGTGCCGTATGTGTGATATATTTAGTTGTGCGTGTGTCGCATCGCGCCTGCTCTTTCCAATACGACAGGCGCCCATCTCTTAAGTGTGAGCTATCAATTAATCAAATGCGTCGCTGTGCTGGCTGTTGCGTGTACAAAAATATCGATATACCTTTACCGATAGCGATAAACGTGGTGTGTTTTGGTGAACAAAGCAACTAAATATCAAATTGACTTATTTTGTTAGCAATTAAACAACAAAATGATCGGTTAAAACTTACTTTGCTTAATTGTAAATGCTTTTTTTTATGTGTTTTTTTTTTGGTTTTTCATTTTTTTTGGTTTTTTGTATTACCGAACGCAAAAGTTGAGAACAAATCGAATAAACGAAATGAAAGCAAAATGGCGGAGTTGGCATCGAGAAGAAAGAACAAAACGAAAACAGGTGAGCATTAAAATTCACTGCTAAAGTATACATACATATATATGTATAAATATATAAGTTAAATAAATCGTGTGACAAGTTCTTCATAACAAATCGAATTATGAAACTTTTCTCTTTTAGCTCAGTGAAGAGTTTCTTGCATTCGTCTGTTAACGGTTGTCTGTTTAATTTTGTTGCTATTTATAATAGTTGTTGTTTTTTTTTTTTTTCATTGGTGTTGCATTTGTATTGATTGGTTAACGGTAATTACTTTATTGCCTTGTCCACCATTGCTACTCGAAGTACTACTCTGCCTCGCTTGGGCAGTGCTCTCACGCAGACTTTCGCGGGCGCTCAAACTTCTCGAGACGGCTACCTTGGCGCTAGTATCGCTAGCTGAATCGACACTTGAACTGCCCAGAAGGCGTCCCCATTTGCTAGCACGGGTACTACGTGCAGATGGTGGACCCGATGAGGGCGAGGGTGATGGCGATGGTGAGGGTACGGCGGCGGTTGTTAGGATGCGTGAGTCCTCGGTTAATGTTAGTTTAGCGGGTAGCTTCTTGGATAGTTTGGTAAATTACAGTTTTTTGTTTTTGGTTTTTGGTTTTGGTTTTTGGTTTGGTTTGGTTTATTAACGAGCAATTGGGAAGATTTATCAATGGAGTTTTGGTGAGCACAGGACAGCAGACAGAGAGAGAGAGAGAGAGAGAAAGAGAGAGAAGAGAGAGAAAGAGAGAGAGAGAGGGAGAGAGAGAGAGAGGGAGAGAGAGAGAGAAAGAAAAGAAAACAGTGTCGTCGTGTGTTGTCGGAAGTGGATCGGTGGGGGGGGGGGGGGGGGGGGGGGGGGGGGGGTCGGAGGCATATACAGTTAAAATTGGAGTTGGAATTGGTAAAGGCAAAAAAAACAAATTCGTGTGGGAAATTCACATTTGGGTTTTCAGTGTTGCAAATCGTTTTAATGTCAATTTGTTGGTTTTAGTCACGGTTGGTCGAGGTGGTGGGGGGGAAAAATAATTTACAATTTTTCGTTAGTAATTTTGATTAGTTCATATTTTCAATTAAGCCAATTGTCAACAAGATTTATACAGAAACATAACAGTTGGACAAACAACAGCAGCAGCAGGAAACAAGGAAAGAGTGAAAGAGAGAGAGAGAGAGAGGGAGAGAGAGCGAGAGAGAGGAAGAGTGAAAGCGATTTTTGGTGAAGTTGGAAGTTTGGCGAAACAGAAGAAGGCATAACATCGATATTCAAAACGAGCGATTTGGTGCGTGAGTGAATGACAAGCATACGTGTGTGTTTGAGCGAATGTGTGAGAGCGAGAGAGAAGAAAGAGAGAGAGAGAGATAGAGAGAGAGAGAGAGTTATGCAGTTGATGTTGTCAGTTAGAGCGAAAGCATGTGAATGGAAGACAAAGAAAGATATACAACGAGCATAAGTCACTTGTGTATGCATTTGATATAACAGTTATACGATATTTTCAAATTGTTAACGGTTAACAGTTAACGCTTTAACGGTAAACGGTAACGGTAAACAGTAACGGTAAACGTTTAACGGTGCCAGCTTGGCCACATGGCCCAACAAACCTGAGCTGTGGCTGTGGCTGTGGCTGTGAGTGGATTAGTAACGATAATGCTTCAAAAAAAATAACGTTAGTTTAATTACTTTGTTAACAATAAATGTGGCAGTTATACACACACACATATACATTATTCTGAAGTACAAAAATACACATTTAATAAGTAAAAAACCAAAATGAATGAAGTGGAACAAAAAACGTTGCTGAAATTAACGAAAGATCAAAGTCGAAGTCGAATTTAAGTTTGAAGGAACGTAAATTCGAATCGAAACTCATTTAAAGAAGGCGCCACACAAAAAGCACCCGGCGAGAGAGCGAGCGAGTCACAGATAAATAGAGAGAGAGAGAGAGAGAGAGAGAAAGTGAGTGACAAGACGCGCTCTCTTCGTAGGCTCACGTTTTGGGTGTGCGCTCAGTGGGAACAAAATGGAATCGGATGACAATAACAGAATATGAATAACGGCAACGCTAACGGTATGACAACAAACAGTTAAAAGCATTTGCACGAAACACAACGGAAACGGAATACGGAATACGGAACAGATGGAATTTGAAAAAAGCATAATAAATCAAGTTTACTAACCTTGGTGCGTTCAACCTCGCCATCGCCTTTTTCGATATCGCTTTGGCCGGAGCCAACGTGCTCCTTACTGCCCGCCTGAACCTGGGGTGTACGCCGGAATTTGGAGAAGATTTTGCGTACAAGATGATCCTGATTCTGGGGCAATTGCGGCTCATTCTTACGCCGTTCGGCCAATTCTTTTTCGCGCTTCACATCGGCCACCTTGCGAAAAATCAGTCGATGTCTGAGATTGTAGGTGAGCACCAGATTGCGTGCAAAGCTATTCGCAAATGCCGAATAGAAATCGAGGACTTCGAGCAATTTATCACGTTTGATGGCATGCAAATCACAATAGGTTAGTGCACGCACATTGGCGGCACTCTGGCCAACGGCCGAGTCCTTCCAGAATTGATCGCCGAAGACGTCGCCTTTGCCTTGAATGATATGCATGCATAGTTATCGTTGATGATCGATATTTATCGATAGATAGATAAATAAGCCGTGCATTCTGCCAATTGTGTACATACCCAATATTGCCACAACCTCGTCGTCCTGTATAACCTCCAGACTGCCAGTCACAATAAAACAGAGACTATCGATACTCTCGCCGGTATGATAGAGCAGATCCCCCGGCGCCGAGTGTGACATCATGAAGTGCATGGCTAATGCGCGCAGACAACCATCCGAGGCCAGACGAAATGCTGGATGCTCGTTAAATACTTTGCGATTTAGATGAACACATATGTCAGCCTTCATATCTTTCGGACAATAGTTTAGTACCTGCGAATTGTGAATGAGTTGCGAGTTGCGTTGTGTGCTCTGCTACTCTATATTGTCGTCACCAGTAACCCGCAACCCCATCCCGGAACGGATTCGTAGCACCCATCATGGGATTAGGTTATATCAGGGAAGTCTGAGGGGGGGCCGGAATTTGAATCGGTTTCTGGGACAGGTACGGACATTGTCTGCGGGCTCTGGATGATGGTTAGTCAAGTGATTCACAATAGAGAGAGAGACACACACACGCACACATACACTAATACACATAAACAACATTGAACAGTGTACAAAAGACTTGTGTCTGTGTTTCTGTCTAGGTGTTGTGTTTTGGCTACATTCTGGTTGTGTGTATGGCTGTGTGAGTGTGTGTGTGGGTGTGTGTGTGTGTATAAGAGAGTATTGTTTGTGTTTGGATTGTTTATTTTTGGTTAGTTAAGACACCAAGTAGCTCAAAACCTTTACAGACGCATATTAGCTACTATTTTCTTTCAGTGTATTGATGGAATTTCAAACTGAAGCTGACTGAAAATTTGTCTTGGTTTTATGTGGAGCTGAACAAGGTGGGGCTCTAACGCTAAACCCTTGCAGAGAATATAATAATTCAAAGATAATTGAGATCTACTTCTGAGACTTGACAAAATGAGCTCGACAGGAGCGTGGTAGTTAAAAGAGAACTCTTCTTATAATGATACTGCACGCTCAGATGGATTTCTGGAACTTTCATCTATACGAATAAATGAAAGACATGTTTGCTTCTTTGTTTAGCAGTCGATGAAGCTCATGACAAGTTTCTAATAGCTTTGTTTAAATTCTTTTTAGTGTTATTTTTACAAATTTCGGCATATCCAAGCCTGGAGTGTTGGGCTTAAATTCATTGTCAAATTTGTGTGAATGTGTTTTCAAAATCCGTCACTTTTGAGTCGAAAATGAAGGTAAATATAGCATGGGAGATGTTTTTAATTTCGGCAGATAGGTTTTTAGCTTGTTTTCAAAGCATACGAATTTAATGAATACTTGTTTCAGCTAAATTGCGAATTTCACGCGCAACTGTGGAAAATTGGTGGAAAACGTTTGTATGCAATAAGAAAACGAATGTTTTCAATTGAGGCTTTTAGAAACGGGCAGGAAATGTTGGGTCTAACTTTTAGCTTCTCAATGAACTTGAAATATTTATGGGTTCCTTAGGAATTATACAACAACGGACAACTATTTCATTTAGATACTATCAGAGCGGCTGGAAACTAAGTTTTTTCAACACCTAGACGTTGTTTTTGTGGCCAGTTCGTTTCATAATACGTCTGCAAGGGTATTTAAGCATCAGCTAGCCGATGTGGTTTGTACTTTCCTGAATGTTTGTTTATTGCTTTTTGTTTTTTTTTTTGTTTTGTATTTATTTGATTTTTGTCAAATTGCGGCACAAACTACAGTCAACGAAATAGGTATAAAGGTCAGTTAATTTGCCTCGGGCAATTTATGAATTGCTTATGTAAAATTCAATTCTTTTACTTTGTTTTTAAACCAAACATTTTAGTTATTGTTTCAAATATATATATCAAACGTTGGCGTTTGGCGTTTGGTTTAAGTTCATCTAAAGGCATGAATTTGACGGACGCTTTTCGTTTTGGCACGGATTTAGCTCACGCGCATCGAATAAAGAGAAGAACGATATACATTTCAATGGAATTACAAGAATATTGTTTTGTTTTTAATAAGATATGTTTTTTTTTTTTTTTTAAATAAGTAGTCTGGCACAATTGCCAGAAATATGCACAGAAAGAAAGAGAGAGAGAGAGATAGAGAGAGAGAGAGAGAGTGAGAGAAAGAGAGCTTACCTCGACCTCGAACTCGACTTGGACCTGTAGCTGTGGCTGGACCTCTAGCTGGTTATGTACCTGTACTTTTCGCTTGAACCTTGAGCATTGTGCTGTCAGTTCACTTAAATTTAAACTTTTGTCTTTTTGCTTTGCGTGAAAATTCGCAAACTACTTCTAAGTTTCGGCAACAAAATGGAAACGTGCCATTGGCAAATTTCTTTCGTATCGCACATATCCTCTGTTTTTTGTTGTTTTATTTATTTATTTTATTTTGCTTTCTTTTTTTTTTCATTTGGGAAAGCGTTTGATTCAAGTTCTAATATTTTGCTTAGAGCGTTTGCTGCTAGATGCGAGAAGCGATTTCAACATAAGAGGGAAAACAAAGCAAACAGCAGCGAGCAGCGGCAAATGGCAAAAGCAGTTTTCCCATTTTCATTTTGAAAGTACTTGAGAAATGTGAAGAACTTTGCTGTAAGTTCGTGTATGTCGATGTGTGACTGTGTAAGAGTGTGTGTGTCTGTGTCTGTATCTGTCTGTCCTTGGGCTGTGTGAGTTTGCATGTGCAATTTTTGGTCTTTAAGCACAGCAACTGTGTGACAAAGCAGGGGGCTACGTTTAGCGCTTGTTAGCGAAAGCAGCGAGTGGGTTATGTGAGCAGCGAGAGAACAGATGACTACGTTTATAAGCATTTAGATACAAGCTTGAGAGAGATGGTAAATATTGTTTAAGTGTTAAAAGTAAAAAATTATGCAAACCAAGTAACGAGTAGGCCGAGTAACGAGTGGGGCGGGATCGAGCAAGCCGAGTATGGAGTAGGCAAAGTAACGAGTAAATAATTCTAATTGTGCTGAGTAACGAGTAGTCCGGGAAACCAGCGGGCAACGAGTAACGAGTATATCACTCTTTTTTTGTCCGAGTCTTTACTGGAACCACGAGTTGACAAGAAACGAGTTAGCTACTCGTTAGTTTTATCATAAGGTTCGCTTAAAGATAACTTTTAGGGTTATGTAAGTGAATGGAGTTTGCTTTTGATGTCAGTTATATAAGGATCAAAAGTGATTGGCGAGTGATTCTAGCAGCGAGTAAGCACGTATTAATGTAAACAATGAAAAGTTAATGCAGGAGTAAAATTATGCCTATGTTGTGTGTTAGAATGTTGAGCGCCATATTTAACAAGCACGCTGGCAAACTAAAGACAAAAATGCACAAGTTAAATTCACTACAAAAACGCTAAGGAATTGCGCACTACTTGTTGGATTCACTTAGATTATAGACGAGTCCACGGCCCAGTACCCAAGTCTCTTCACACGTAATTGCGCATGGATATAGATAGAATAGTTTGTAGATGCCAACTATTTGGCCGCACTTACCTTTTCGGTATCGAGGCCTTTGGTCATGGCCCACGTGGAGACGACATAGTCCATAACGCGCTCGCTAAGCGCCTTCGGAACCTCGTGCAGCTTCATGAACTCCCGCACATTGTTGAGCATATCGTGGTACTTGGCTGTGGCCGAGGTCATTTGCTGAATGATGGTCGTCACGTGACCAAAGATCGTCGCATAAAGCAGAGCTATAGTTGTTATGCGAGAGAGTGGGAGAGAGAGAGAGAGAGAGGGAGAGATTGGAAGAGAAAAAGTGGTGTGGCATTGAAAATAAACGAGCGTGAAAATGAACGAGTTGAGTCACAAGATTCGTTACATTTAGACACGCAGAAGTAGCGAGACAAGTCTACTCGTTATGTTTTGTTTTGTGCCAGGTCTTCTATATATGTGTGTGTGTGTGTGAGTGTGTGTGCGTGTGTGTGTGAGTGAGCAACAGTAACGAGTACAAGATGTCAACGAGTTGAAGACTGATGTGAAGATTTAAGTGTCAGAATATTTTACTCGCTGCAGATGAAACGCGCAAGCGCACAGCTAGAACGGTAATAAATGCAAAGAATTGGACGAGCGACATACAACGAGATGGAGACAGAGATGCGGAGAGAGAGAGAGAGAGAGAGAGAGAGACAGAGAGGAAGAGTAACTGATAGAGAGACACATTACACAGGCGCACCGGGGGCGTGGCTGTTGAGGCTTTAGCCCTGCTTTAAGGGTTGACGGTGCGTATGCGCAATATGCTCAAGACATTCGACTCTATAAATGGAAGCATTGAATGGAATGACAGATGCAAGCTGGGTTTATATGGCATCTGATAATGTTTGTTTTGATAAATATCAAAATGAAAAATAAAAGTAAACACGCACAACAAATTGTCACTGAGACGTAAATTAACAAGAACTCACACATGGCCACGAATTGTGCAACTAGACGTGTTATCAATCGGTATGATTATCATCAAAAACAAACAAACAAAATAGTATATGTGTTAGCTATCAAAACTTGTAACGCTTTCGAATGGACAGGGGGGCGGGGGGGGGGGGGGGGGTGGGCGCTAGAGGCTCAGATTTGTCGGGCATGGCACTACCAATAGATGAGATGCTCATATGGCAAAACGACTGAAGGCATAATGAGTTTATGTCTTTGCTTTTTGGCAACAGCAATTCCGGCAATTTATTAGTTCTAGCGGCGCTTTAATTGTGTCTAGCTTTTGCAATGAGAGTATTTGCATATAGCTAAAGCGTTGCGGGTTGTTTAGCGTTTTTTTTTTTTTTTTTTCTGAGAAATTTGGACGCGGCAACGGAACGTGTTTGGACACAGCACCTGCAATGATCATCATGCAGATGGTGAACACCTTCTCGTTGTCTGTCTCCGCTGCGACATTGCCGAAGCCCACCTGTTGGAAACGAGATAGTAAATATTCACATATTAATCAAACTTGACCAATTGCATATCGCCAGCCATTTGTTGGACAAAGTGCAACTTACCGATGTCATGCAGGTCATGGTAAAGTAAAGGGCCGTCACATACATGCTCTTTCTGGATGGGCCATTGACGAGCTCGGGCCCCGTATCATTGCTCCATATATAGGAATACGGCGATTGGGTGACATTCGCCAGCTTCCACAGCCAGCTATATTGGATCTGCGGCATGGAGCTGGTTTAAGCAGAAGAAAGCCAAAAATCAACACAATATAATGTCTTACCCCATTATCCGCATCGCTGCGCCCAATCGAATACCAGATGCAGGCCAACCAGTGGGCCACAAGCATATAGAAGCATAGCAGAAGTATCAGCATGGCTGCACCATACTCCAGATATCGGTCCAGCTTGCGTACGACACGACCCAAACGCAACAGACGCACGACCTTGAGGGCGCTGAAGAGCGAACCGATGCCGTCCTCGTCGCGATCGAACGCATTGAAGACATCGTAGGGCAGACAGCTGAGCAGATCGATGATAAACCATGACTTCAGATAATTCATTCGTATGACCTTCGGATCGCTGACCACCTCACCGCCGGGCCCGACAAAAGTGGTGTGAAAATTTAACACTAAAGGATTCTCAGTTTTAATATATATGCATATAGCTTGGCTGGACTTACCAATATCTATGAAGAAGATGACGTCAACTATTGAGTCCACAACGAGCAGGGAAACATCCTCTGAAGTTTTATTTTTAAACGCTACATTATATGGCACCTGTCGACAAGAAAGCATACACAATTAGCTCAAGTCTGGGAAAGTCTAGATAGTGGGAAACCTGTTGAGAGCCGTGCTAAGGGCCCAAGTCAATTGGTGGTCAACTTAAGGCTGCTTAGCTGATGTTGACTGTGCAACAGGTTGGGCCAACAGTTTGTTATCCTTAATCCTTAACGTTGTTATGTGGCACGCCCCCAGGTTCTTAAGCGGCATGCTACAAGCCTCTTAGGCACAGTTCTCTGTCTGTCTTGACTTGGCTTGTATCGCCCTCTGCTCTCTCTCTCTACCTCCCTGCCTCCCACTCTCTCTCTTGGCGAATATTAATTTAAACACATAAAACATATACACGCCGCATGGCCAGACAGACACAGACGCAGACATAGACGTAGACGTTAACGTAGACGTAGACATGAACATAGACCCAACCCCCGGACGTTGGAGCTTAGAGCGCCCGCCTAGGCACTTGGTCATGTAAATGTCTGCACTTGTCGCAGTCCGTGTAAGTGTCAGTGGGACAAGACTATTATCTGATTTCTTGACTTGTACTTGCTTTTATCTGGCGAACGGGTGAAGAGCACTTAATGCAATCTCTCTCTCTCGCTGCCATCCCGGCCACGCAACGCACCCGACGCCCCCGATGCCCCCGACGGCGACTTGTTAGTGCCAGTTATGGTCGTCGGGCATGGGCCGAGCAACAAGTGCGCGAGAAGTGCCTTAACGAGGCCAATTCGTTAAATTGCCGCTCAAATGATACACAAACATTTAAATATTAACTCCCATTCTTATTCCTGTGAGATAATCTCTCAGCTGAGCAGCAAATCTGTTGACGATTTGGTTTTATGGACAGAAAACAATTGCTTTACTTGAAGATGCTTGTTAGTTTTCTCTATTTGAATAGAGACGAGTGCTGAGAGAGAGAGTGAGGGGGAGGCGAGGTGCAGCTGTATATTTTTCGTCTAGCTTAGGCTCTAAGCCTAAAGTACATTCAATATAGCTTTGTGCAAAAGTTGGCATCTTTGAGTCCATCCGAGTAGATCTAACCATGTCCGACTCTCTTCTTAATATTCGAAATATATATGTTTTACTCTATACCCCAAGCTGATTGACGTATTATTTTCTTTTTAAAACTCCCTCACATTTTCGTAATATCGATAAATATCGTTTTCGGGCATAGGTTATTCAAGCATAACTCGAGAATTATAGGAGCTATATGGACCAAACTTGGTTTGTAGGTCTTTGCATGTATTATAAAGCTTTTAGATGTTTCACTTTTTCCCAGTCCACATTCAAAATGGAAAGAGGGGCCTGATCTGGCGCTGTGGCCTTGTTTATAAATGAATATACTTAACAGAAATTAGCCAACGAATTTTGGCAAATCCATACGCAATCTAATGCTAGCCTTGACACGAAACCACAATCAAAGCAGGCATTAAAATGCTTACAAATTTCTTTGAATATTTTCGCAATATTCTAGACAGGTTTTAAAAGTCTTAAATCTGTTCTGTGAAACTGGAACCGCATTCATTTTGGTCTCTCTGTCTAAGGGAGCTTTGGCTTTGCACAACATTTGGAACATTTTAAGCGTACATATCTCAAAATCGTTTCGCCCGGCTGCCAAAAGGTTCGCCTCAGTTTGTTTGGCTTAAAAGTTGTTTTCGGCTATTGTGCTGTCGGGGACTAAGCCGAGGCGAGAAGCCGCAGTTGTTTCCAAAGTTGCGAACAGCAACAAAATGCGGCGTCGCCGCCAAATTGCATTAAACAATAACAAAATATATGTGCGAATGCACCATGCGAGTGTGAACGACTAGCAGATACCCTGTAGCCAGCCTCCAAGCTCTATTCTCGCTGCTCTCAGCCCCAAGAGGGGAATCTGGGCTCCTAGATGTCTTCGCCTGTCTGTTGCATACCTTTACATAGTTTCAATATGCCCCATTTTTTAACATTTTAAATGCGTACAGGGTATACAAACAATGTAAAACCGATTGCCAACCGAACAACAACAGCAATTCGCAAACTAAAAGAGCAACAAAGCAACTTTCGAACCCAAACTCTCCCGAGGATGTTAACACCAGCTACACACACACACACTCACAGGGTATGTGTTTGTGTGTGTGTGTGTTTGTCTGATTCAAGTTGGCTGTGCGCAATTTAAGCGAAAATGTTAACATCTTGTTGACGGAAATAGGCACAATTTGAGTAGACAAGCGACGAAACAACAGCTGCCCCGCTTTGCGGCATGTGGCCTGTGGCCTGTGGCATGTGGCATGTGGCATGCGGCAAGTGGGTGTGTTTACGCCTAAGTAGCCAGACCGATAGCACCGTGCCAGAAAAACAAATGAGTTAGCTGTGTTTGGTTACAGCTAGGCCATAAAGCGGAGCAGAACTTGCACTGAGATGAAAAATGTCGCCGATAAACGAAAGCAGCTAAATGCATTTTACAGGGTATTATGAATGTGTCAGAAAGCGTGTAACCCCGAAAGAAATTCATGTACCCACAAATGTCAGCTAATAAGTAAGCCAAGGCAAGGCTTAAAATAGTTTAAGTAAATGATGCTAAGCACAGCTTTGTCCTACTCAAATCTGAAGCGCCTATTCGAAACCATCTGGACGTAGGACATAGACGTTAAGCACACCTTAGAATAATCTTCAACTGTGACACAAAATGTTTCGATAATCTATAGTTAATTAGTTGGTGGCTTTACTTACCATGATGGCGGTATAAAATGTTAAACACAATATCACCCAGTCCCAAATCGCCTTAAATGCACAATAATGCAAGAGTATGTGTGGGGGCGTCTTTGGCGCTTCCTGTCTGTACTGTGGCATAATATCCGCGCTCAGTGACATCATCTGTAAGCGATATGTTAAGCGTGCCGTGTATGAGTATAAGTTATATTCTAGCGAGTATTACCCGACTTGGCCCGGGCTAAAGATATTTTCACCAAACTGTGAACGTTTCCACCCGTTTCGTGCAAGTGCGGAGAATACAAAATGAATTTTAAAAGAATTTTTTTTTGACCGAAATTTAATTTGCGCTCAATTTAGAGCCTAGGTAAATTCGTGCGTTTTTCGCTAGTTTTCCACGGCTGCGGGTGGAATTTATAGAATCGCTTTGCGAGTTTGAACTAAAAGCGGATCGGACGACAATCGTAACTTCGCGAGTTTCCCCTTTTCCACCCAGAAGGTTGAAATAGTTCGAAACACAGCTCAACTGATTTTTTTAATATGAAAATAAGTTTTAAGCTGATCGGACGTAGGTAAGAAACTTTCACACAAGCGTTTTACATCAACTTTCCACTGGCACGGGTGGAATTTTGTTCACTTTAACACTAGACGAGGTAATTAGAGCTTTCTAGCTTTTATGATCCGTCAGTCAGTTCAATATATATACATTATGGTAGATGTTGAGATCGATTAGAACTTACGTGCGCCAGATTCGACTGCTTCGTTGGATCCTTGAGCGTGGGCAAATGGGCGCTGAACTGGCGGCTGCGTGTGACGGATCGCGCCAGCTTGGCGAATTTGGAGAGACCTAAAACTGGAAGGAATAGATTAACTGCTACGATATGGACAGACACGCACAGGCCAAAGACAACAGAGAAACAAGCAAAAAATAGACAGAGACAGAAAGAGAGAGAGAGAGAGAAAGATAAATAATAAAGTAAATGGCAAACGATACACAGAGACGTGCGATAAATCGATAAAGCGTTTGATGAACGAAAAATGCAAAATCATCAAGAATATATACAGACATTAGACATATACATAAAGTACATCGGTTCAGTTCATATATATGTATGCAAACATATGCATATATAGTATATATATATATATATATAGTATTATATACAAATATTATACAATGCGTAAGCGTGTGTGCGTGTGTGCAGTTTTTGGATATCGGGATAAATGTGGGAGAAACAGAGACAAAAGAGAAAAAAGAGAATAAAAGAGTAGAGTGATGTACATTTTGGTAAAAGATTGAGAGATTGAGAGACAAAGAGCTCAAATTTTAACAAGGGGTGCATGCGCGCGCGCGGCAGAGAGAGAGAGAGAGTGAGAGAGAGAGGGGTGTGCAGGTGTGTGCAGGGGATAAGGCGTGTGTGTGTGTGCAGTGCAGTTTAGTGTAGTGTATAACCAATTCGTTGAACTGATTTTAAACAAATTTACAAACGGTGTGTGTGGCATTTGGCTTGGCTTGCAATATGATCCTTGCAATATATATATATATATATATATATATATATAGGCTCATATATTGAGATCAGGGCGGTGTGTAGAGTGATTGTGCGGGGGTAACGGGGTGCCGGACCATAGAGCTGGAAGTACTTACCACCTTTGGTATCCTCGCTGTCGATGGGCTGTTTCAGTGCCGTTATATCCCGAAACGTCAATAGGAATAGCACAACCAAATCCCTTTCGTTGCGTATGGGCGCCACCTGAAGCAGCAGCCATAGCGGCGTTTCTGATAAAGTGAAGAGAGAGAGAGAGAGAGAGGGAGAGAGAGAAAAAAAAGAGAAAAAGACAGAGAGAGAGAGACAGAGAGAGAGAGAGGAGAGGGAAAAGAGAAGTGAAGTCATTAGCGAGTGTACAAATATTCGGCTTAATAACCCTCAAATTAACCTCTTCCTTGGAAGCATTTCCAACATATTCGTGTAGTCAAGTTAAGAAAAGTCCTGAGTATATTGCGAGTGCTCTCCAGCACTGTTAAGTATATAAACAAACCAGAAAAAGGATCTATAACCCTTGTAGACATTTATCTGAAGGCTGCAGATGTGGTACGAAGGCTGAAGCTCGTAAAGGCTGAGTTTAATGAAAATATCTTTGAGAACAGAATATTTTGCCAGACAGAAACTCACTTATCGACCGATTTCTCCTATTGTGCTATATTATATTGTAGTGTGATTAAGATAAACAAAACAGTTTTCCATGCAATAACCTTATTTGCGAGCGATATATATAAAATATACCAGCCCGGGCATATTCCGATCAAGGATCTTTGAAAATGAGTTTAAAGCCGAGCCGGACGGTTAGCCAATTAATCAAAAACTCAAAACAAGAATATTGTGGTCAGATTTAGATGCCAAATTGATCTAGAGGTCAAATAATGCAGAGAGAGAGAGAGAGAGTCTCGGGAAAATCGTATGAGATTTGGCCAAGTTATGGGGTCGGGAAATTTTGACTGATTTAGGATATTTGAGGTTACAATTTTCACATGAATAATGTTGCCTGCTTTAAGTGCCAAATTGATCTAGAGCTCAAACCTTGAAATGCTCTGCTTTAAAACTTTGCTTGAAACTATTTTTGATCTGGCCAAACTATCTTCCAGCTTTCAGTCCCATTGCCTAACACGACAAACTATACTCGATTTGCATTGAATACAAATTATAAACGAATAAACGAAAACAAAGGCACGTAAATAAACAGATGCTTGTGCAAAATGTTGACTAACTTTGAACAATTGTTGCAATTGTTGCAATTGTTACAATATTTGCTTAATGTTATTTATTGACAGTTATCAGAAAATTGCAAATTAATGTGAAATTTAAGCAATTATTTAGGGCAAGTGCTGCAATACACAGAACGATAATCGAATTGCAGTCGAATGCATTGAGGTCACAATGGACGCACAGAGACGGAAACGGCAAGGGCAAGGCAGACGACGTTAGTGAGAGAGGGGCAAGGGCAGGGGCAGGGGCAGGGGCAGGTGAAGGGGCACGAACGTGCTCAGTTTGGCATTGCAATTACGGATATTACGCGCACGAGGCTCAAAGAATTGTTAAAACGATGCCCGATTGCAAAGTGTGTGAGTTTAAATTAAACGCACACACACACGCGCGTTTTAGGTGTGCGTGTGTGTGTGTGTGTCCAATCAACAATAATTGCAATTCAATTTTCATTTGCAGCGCTGACCCACACGGCGTATGCGCAATTGTTCTGCTGTCATTGTGTTGATAGAGCTCATGCGAGTGCCGAGTGCCGACTGCAAGGGGAAAGCGCAGATTGAGAAGGGCGGAGAGGAGGGGGGGGGGGGGAGGGTTGGTGGCACGTGCCTGCTGTGCGGGCGGCATATTAATAGCATAATTATTGGCTAATTTTATGCACAGTTTGCTGTTAACATATCCGCTGTCACTTCCGTTTCCGTTTACCTTTTGGCTCCACATTAAATGCAAGCTTAAAGAGCGCACAGCAAATAAAATCTATCTCTATATCTATATAGATCTGTGTATCTATGTATATATGAATGTGTATAATTTTTTATTCGACAGCAATCGGGCAAACAAGACAACCATAAACTTATCCACGGCGCCCCAGAGACACCTGTCAGCCAATTCAATTTGTTCGCATATCGAATTGCCGCCACATGGCAGCGCGCCTCCTTTTGTGGCAACTTTTCAAAGTGCTACGTGCCACACACATATACCACGATTATGCCGGCAATAGGTTAGAGAGAGGCGGGTAATACAAAAATACTATATATATATATATAAAATGTAGTAAACGAGGGAGCAAACGAATAGCTAATGGCAATGAAAAACGAAGCCAGAAGGAAATGCCCAAAATCGAAATTTAAATACGCTTTTTATGGAATAATAGCTGCTCTTTCGATCGGTTGGCCTATTGTCTATATAGTATATAGTGTATATAGTATAGATGGCATAATAAATATAGTATAGCAATCCGATATGCTGCGGTTGAGGTAACTTGCGAAAGTCAAACAAGAGGTGTTAACCTTAACTCGAACTGAACCTTAACCCCAACTGTCTAGGCCTCTGGCAGCTATATGATCTAGTGCTTCGATCCGGCTCACTTCGACATCTATGCAACATCTGATGAGGATAGCTTTGTAGCTATAGTAAGCCATCAACTATATATGTATATGAATATACATCTAGTACATCTACTTCTAAGCGTCACACATTTTCTGACAAACGTGTAATACCCCTGCTGCAAGGGCAGAACAAAAACCAAAAAAAGAATAGCGACCAAATGTGTGACTCAGCTTTGATGGAGCACTTTTCTTTTCGATGGCCCGCTGTAATATTTTACAAATAGCTGCATTTACTTTTTATATGTTCTGCCCAACAATCATAATAATGTTTGATAATCGTCCGTAATTATATGCACGTTCTTGGCCGTTGTCACTCAATTCATTTAATGCATTCAATTAAATTTTCAATTTTCCACAAATTCTCTATCGCATACAATTTGCGGCGCACGGAAACTATTAAATATTAATTTTTAGACAAGCCTACAAATATGTTTGCCATCAAATATTAATTGGAATTACACGAAATTGTAATTAAAATTGATATATTCCGATTGTCATGGGCTTGCGTCGCACTTTAAATACCCTTGCCATAAAGCATTATATGAGCTGGGTATATTAGACAGTTTATGGATTGTTAAGTTTTTTTCTCAAATGTTTAAATGGTTACCAAAGTATTTAAAGTCTTTGCCTCTTTTCCACTTGAAAAACTCTTAAACAAATCCACGCTATAACGGGGCGTTGTTATTTAAATCCACGTGCAAGCGTGGAAAATTATTGGATTCAGTTTAAATGGCTGCCATATTAAATGTTTGTAAATATTTACAATGGCTTGGAAAGTTTTCTCTCTCTACATCTGGAACTCTAATAGAAATCCATGCTAATGTTGCGTTTTTTTTATTCCACGCGCAATCCACGAAAATTGGCGGAATTTTCAAAGATCTTAAACAAAGCTTATCTAAAACGCATTGCAAAGCTTGCATAAATAGGTTGTTAAACCATTTTTAATGTTCTTTAGGTACTTGGAAGATAAGTTAAAATTTTCACTGTAGTTATTTTATGTGATGAAGGGAAGCGTGTGCTTAGACTTGTTTTTGGGAAATTCCACCCGCAAGTGTGGAAACATCGTGAAAAACGTTTGTATGAAACTGTTTTGTTTCTCGATCCGATCGGCCTTTTACTCATTTTCAAAGATCTTTGTTTAAATTCATTTAAGAAGTGCTTTACACGTTTTGGACAATCCTACGTAAATGGAGGTCGAAAATTTGGTAGGGTTCAAACTTATTGTCAAAGCTCTTTATGAAAACTGATTTAAGACATGTTACACACTTATCGCAGAATCCAAGTTTCCTCGGAAAATGCGTATAAAAGATTATTTTGATTGAAATTTTTCTATTTGAGAATAATTTCCGATAGAGTTGTTATTCGATTCTTTCGAGCTGCCCACAAAAGTAGGCTACAAATTCAAAAAACATGGCCAAAGCCGTGTTTAGCTATTTAGTTATTTGGCTTGAATGCTTTCGCTACTCCTGTCTTTCCTTTAATTACTCCATTTATTTAATGCTGTGTAGCCTTTTTTATGAAGCGTGCCTCAATTCGATTAGCCGTAGCATATTAGTTAATCGATGTTTGAGACTCTTTTGATTTGGTCCCTTGCATAATGCATAACAATCGATTGGTGTGTTGATACATACGCACATACACACGCTCATAAGCACACACACGCACGCGTACAGCATATTGCAATTGATTTATGCATATTTTATGATGATGCCCTCCAGTTGCCAGTTCCTAACATTGCCAATAAATACAAACAGAAGGCGACTGTACTGCGAGATGCTGCCAGGCCATCTGCACAATCACTCTTCGATGCATATACATATATTTATATACATATATACATTCGATATACGATAACTAGATGAGTGCTTTGGTTGTACCTTGGGTTTGTGCCTTGCCAAACTGCGAGAGGGCGCAGCCACATTGTATATCTGTAAATTGATACCCGAAGGCGTTAATCCATTATAATTGCGAGTTCAAATTGGGAAACGAGCGAGCTTCAACTAGCAACTGTTTCACATACATCAGCTGACTTCTAGGTGTCTGGCGGGGTAAGCAGAGAGTGGTCTTAACGGGGAGAGGTGCGGGCGGGCGAGTTGGGGTTTTGGTGAGGTGGTCTGCTTGATTGATGGGCGCCACTCAAAAATTGTTGCGCCACCTTAACTTGTTTGGATTAAAGAGTTGGCATGGAGAAAAAAAAACAGCAGCTGCCAGAAAAACAGACGCAGCCAACAAATAAAAAGCGGGTAACGAATATAAAGTAGCGAGTGGCGAGTGGCAAGCGGCAAGTGGCGAGTTGATGGAGTTGTTGAAGTGTGAGTGGGATTCAAGTGGCATGAATTATATGAATATATAAACAAATATGTATGTATGTGTGTGTCTATATTTCTGTCTATGTGTATGTGTGTGTAAAGAAGCGAGTAACGAGTGGCGAGTGGCAAGCAGCGAGTGGCGAGTGGCAAGCGGCGAGTTGAGGGAGTTGTGGAATTGTCAGTGAGATTAGAGTGGCATGGAATATATGAATATATAAACAAATATCTATGTATGTGTGTGTTTATATTTCTGTCTATGTGTATGTGTGTGTAAAGAAGCGAGTAACGAGTGGCGAGTGGCGAGTGGCAAGCGGCGAGTTGAGCGACTTGTTGAAGTGTCAGTGAGATAGAAGTAAAATATATGAATATATCTACATATATGTGTTGCTGTGTGTGCGTGTGTCTAAATGTATGTGTGTGGACAGGGGCGAGTAGCGAGTAAAGAGTAACAAGAGTGAGTGGGATTAGGGTGGCATGAAATATATGAGTACATATAGATATATGTGTATATGTGTGTGTGTGTGTCCGTCTTTGTGTATGTGTGCGTGTGAAGGGGCGACCGCACACAAAGTGCAACAATTTATTATGGAGTAAGGGACGCAACATAAATCTAAATCGTCCTTCAACCCATCCCCCACAACGGCTTTGTTCTTTGAGTAGGGGAATTATGTATATATTTCAGGGCACGTGTCTACACCTTGATACCGCGGCTAATTAAACATAGTCAAGCTTACGTTTTGGCTTAATAAGCTAAAATACAGGTAATTATTTAATTAGCCATTTATAGCTGCAGCTACACAGAGGGGTAGGGAGAGAGAGAGAGAGAGAGAGATAAATGCGCAAACACTCAGAGAATATATCAATTATCTTGGTTTGAGTCTTAATTTTCGAATATCGACATTTATTAATACAAGAACTGGACTGCAAACCAAAACATAGAAGAATAAAAGAGGACTTAAAACTTGCAGAAATTCGCCTCAAGGCTTTGCAGCTGTGAGATGTGCGAAGGCTGAAGCTTCTTAATGTTCAGTTTCCTCAAAATATCTTGGAAAACAGAATATTTTGCCATACAAAAACTCACTTATCGACCGATTTCTTCAAGACTTCTATATAATATAGTAGTGCGATCTTGAGAAGATTTGGCTCATATACAGGCAGCCTAGTTTAACTAATAAAAGCCGAGCTTGGTCAAGATATCTTGTTAAAGAAAAATTATTCATATAGAATATAGATATATACATTCTGAGGTTGGAGATGTCTCCTTCTACGCATGACAAAATGTTAATACCCTGTAGAATCGAAATATATTTTCGCCGTTGGAATTGGTTTGAAAGTTTTTGCAAATGCATGAAACCAGGTCTTATTGTCATATCTCATGTTCAAAATTAAATGAAATTCCAAGCTCGCATCGGTTCGGTTTCGGTCTGCATTACTATGGGAAATTTGTAACTTAAATGGAGAACATTTCGCGATATAAATTGTATACTCTGATCTCTTTAGGAATATTGAGCAACAGAATCAGGAATGATTTGCAACAAGTACAATTGTGATTTCAATGCCAATGAGGTTTTTCTCTGAGTGTATGTTCTATTGGGGAATCGCTGTAATAGTTGGTTTTTAATATATACTCACTGTTCTTTTTGTAGAGCAATATTTCGAATTGATCCTGCTGCTGATTCTCGAGCGTATACTCCAGACGTCCAACCGTCTCCTTGTCTGTCAGCTCGCCGTACATGAAGCCGCATCTGTTGCAAGGAATTGGGGAATACACAAGAGCAGAATATCGCACATATACGAGGTATTATTCTTGATTAGTTTTAGACAGCTGGGAGCAGTACATAAAGCACGCACACAGATTTAATTATTATTCTGATTAATTATAATTAATGTGATTAATCTAATTAGAACATGCTGAGAACGTGAAATTAAGGTAGCACAAGTCGCAGACGCAGCAGCAGCAGAAACTGGCTCAGTTTTCTGAGTGCTCTTGACTTTCTTGCATAATTGTTCAAAATTCAAAATTTCTGCCCTAAAAGTTCTTCTACTTCTTAATTGGCTGAAAGTCTAGAGTATCAGCCATAGCTCTAAAGTGAATGCAGCCTGAAACGGGCTTCAGTTCTATAAATTTGTAGTTGTCTATACACACGGAGAGAGCTATTGTTTCTAGTCTATATTCAGGTCGTATATCAAATTTATAAGTATATATATATTTATAGGTAAAAGGAGAGTTTGTTTGGGTTGAATGTGTTTCTAGCTGTTATTTCTGGTTCGATACCCATTTGGTTTTTCTTTTCCCACTATATTTGCTTTTACTTCCAATGTGTTTTACATAGAACCGAAAAACGGATATACAAATTGGATTTGAGTATGTTTCCAAATTCCTATTCGCCACAATATTGTGTTGGGCACAAATATTTGGTTAGCTTGAAAATGAACTATAGCCAAAGTTGCCAAAAAAAAAAAAAAAAATAAAAACACTAGCAAATAAAAACTGGAAATAGAACATGTTTATACAAGGGAATACACGATATACTCTCTTTAATTGAGCTACAGCGAGCAACTATTTCATATTTCCCATCTATTTTTGCTTTGTTTAGATATCGTGGGGCACAATGCAGGGAGAGGGGGGTGCGGGTGGTGGTTGCTTTTACAATTCTGTTATTTGAATTGCCAGAAATCTAGCTTTATTGACTTGCAGCTTAAAGTTGAGAGTAGAATTTGTTGTTGTGCAAAAAAATATATGTAAGACTCTAGCTAAAGTGATTTTCCACTTTGAAATAGAATTCAATTCTCAGAAATCTTTTCGCCGTTTTTGATTGACAAAGAGTTGGCTCGAGATAATAAATACGAGATTTCCAGAAATCTCGCTCTTTTATCTAATAATTGAGTCAACGCAAGGCACAGCATATCCATTGCCAATGCGTTTGAAGGAGATATACATATATTCATGGGCGACACTCCTGTGCTGTCAGGTCAGGTAATATGCTAAATTTGCCTGCCTCTGGCCACGGTGGCGGCCATTTATTTTGGCCAAGTTGACACCGAATGGCCGTCGAGCACGAGCGATGATGGAAATTACCATATCGTATGGCACATCTTCTAAGCTGATGGCTTAGCCACTACGGGCTGGCGTTCCGCTGCTGCAGCTGATGCTATCACATGCGCTGGCAGAAATACTGAAAAATAACTTGAAAACGAAGTGGAAGAGGAACGTCAAATAGCAAGTGAAATGAAAAATAGAAAACCGTTGCCAAGGCAGCGCACGTGCTGAGCTACAAGCAAAAAAAAAAAAAAACACGAGTGATGAAAAAAAGTGTTGCATGCTTTTAGGGCGCGCGCAAAAATATGCAAAAATGGCCAAGCGCTCAGCGTGCGAGCGAGCAACTAAATGACATAGTGAAGGAGCAAGTGAGCGAGTGAGCGAGAGACACGGTCGATTGGTGTGGGCGGTCGGTAAGGAGGGGCCACAGGGGCAGAGTGCGCAAATTGCAATGACGTCAGCAGCCAGCAATGGGTGAAGGCGAATTCGAATGCGAGCGCAAAAGGAGACACAATAAAAACTGTTAATTTGTATTTGGCGCTGTCGCTGCCGCTGTCGCTGTCGCCGTCGCTGTCGCCGTCGCCGTTGCTGTTGTTGTTGTTTCTGTTGCTGCTGTCATTGCATTTAGACGAATGCTGTTTATGTGCATGCATCTGTGTGTGTGTGTGTGTGTGTGCGTGTGCTTATGTGTGCACTTGTATTTATTTATGCCATGACAAAGGTTCAACAAACTGCGACGGCGGCGGCGACGCTGGCGTCGGTTAAGTCGCCCAGCGACGTCACAAATAGAAACGCAAAGCGACTCATTTCCTCTTTGCCGGCCATTTTGTGCAATGAACTGTTTTGCTGCAGTGGATATCAATGTGTGTGTGTGTGTGTGTGTGTGTGTGCAAGGGAGACAGGCACAGAATTGGGTTAGAAGGCAGGCAACACAAAAGCCCAAACAGGTTAAAGGCAAGCATTGGCTAAGGTTCCACTTTATAAACTCTAAACTAACAGCAGATCAGACGGCAAGGGGGTGAGTGCGCTTGGGGCGGGGCAGGGGAAGGGGCTTGGAGTTAAAAGGCGCCACAAACTGGTAAATTGAAAGAAAGTGCGCGCAGTTAAGCAAACAGCAAAAAACAAACAAACAAACAAACAAACAAACAAACAAACAGAAAGAGATAGACAGAGACTGCAAGAGATAGAGAGAGCGAGAGAGAGAGAGAGAGAGAGAGGGCAACAAATAAAAGGATTTTCTTTTTTGGTCAACCTTTTGCTTGGATTCTCTTTTAGCGCGCGGTCACACACAGACACACACAAACACACTGCAACAAAGTGGGTCAAAGCGCAACAATAAATAACTGACACACACACACACACACACACACGGACATACTCTAGAGTAACAGAGATGAAGAGCGAGAGGGAGGAGAGGGACAAGATAGCGCAGTCAGCTAAACGCCTAGATTGGCATTACAAAAGTTTGGCTTGTCCGAGGAAAAAAAAGAAAACCAGGCAGAAACGGGGCGGGGGGAGGTGGTGGGTCGCTGGGGACATGGGGCAGGGATTGCTGGCCAGGCACTGCATACGCTTCCATTTTTTTATTTGTTTTTTTGGCTTGTTTTATTTTTTTTTTTTTTTTTTTTTGGCTAGGCCAACCGCTGTGGCAATTTTCGCTTACAAATTATAAAGAATTCGCTGGAGAATTTCACATTGTGCGCAACTTTACAGTTTTGCAGGCACTCTTGGGTCATGCAACAGTCGCCCGCCGACCGCCCTGTTTCTCACATTTTTCAAGCTAATTTGCCAGCTGATATGCAACAAAAAAAGATATAAAGTAAATGTATCGAAAAATCGCCTGCGGCACAATTTCGGCTTTGGGCCTAGCTACCTCTACAAACAATTTGTGTTCATTACACAAAAGTTAGCTCACAGCCAGTAAAAGTACATTAAAGCCAACCGCATTTTCTTTGCGTCCTCTTTATGCCCCGAACCCATTGAAAAGCGGGCTATAAAGGGCATAGCAGGCTTTTGTTAAATGTTTGTAACAGGCAGAAGGAGGCGTTTGTGACTTCGTAAAGTAAATATTTTCTTGCTCTCGGCATCAATAGACGAGACGAACTAGTCACGTCTGTCTGTCTCTGTTTGTGAATTATCGATTTTTCGGAGACTAGAGAAAATTTGAACGAAAATCTAAAGGAAATTATAAATTATCGATAGCTCGTTTCCATGAAATCGATAAACATATGGATATGGAAATTCTATTTTAGACCATATGCTTTATAGAAGCTCTTATGGAAATTTTCGACAAATTTACCCTCGCTATTCATAAAAACACAAATTTTTGCATTTCCCAAAAAGTGGGGCTAAGGTTGGAAGAGGTTTGTGTGTTTTAGAACTGAGCTAGGTGCAGGGTATCGTCAAGTCGGGCATTCTATATTGTCACTTTTTTTTTTTTATTTGTGCCGCATTCTCGCATGCAGCAACCAGTGAATATCGCCCGGCGGAAGAGCACAGTTAGCCGGAACTGCGGCGTTTTGGCCTTTAATGCCTACTTAATGCCCTGATAAATGGACTCGGGGGCTACAAACTGGCCGTGAACCAGCTGTCTGCTGACTTTTGACTGAAATCTTTACGCTTTCATGGTGCGCTGTCACTGTCAATCCGCTTGCTTGTCAGCCATAAAATGAGCACAAGTGTGTTTATAGTTGCAGCAGGAGGACATTTTTAGAGCCAGTGTTAAGTAAGTGCGCAAAGGGTCGAGCTTAAGTGTTCGAATAAATTAAAACAGTTTTTTTTTCCTGTAACAAATTACGAAAGAAAAACACAGTCGAAACTAGTAAGAGTACGAAATAAATCTAGGAAACTTTTTAGTTAGGGTAGAAAATAGGGCAGAAATAGTTGAATAGTGTTGGAAAAGGGTTTGAAAACACAAAAGATCAGCTAAAAAAAGATTCTAGATTGTAACCATTAAGCGAAAATGTTATAGATTAATCTAAATTTCATATGTTTAAATACTGCAAATGCAAAATGAATCTAAAGGAGTAAAAAGCTAGACATGCCATATAAAAACCAAGCAAAAAGAAAGCTATATAGCTATATATCTAAGGGGTTGCAATAGATGGTAAGAGCATAATTTCAGATGAGAAACAAACACTCTGATTTGCTGTGAATATGAGAAAGAGACAGATGAATAGATAGACAGAGAGAGAGAGAGAGAGAGAGAGAGCGCGCGCTGGGCAGCTGTTGAGCGCAAGAACTGCGTGGAATATAATACTTAGGCTAGGCAGATACATATATGGTTATATGTATATATAGAGATAAATAACATTTAGCGAGAGAGCGCAACAGAGCGAGTGAATATAAATCGGCAATACGTACACATACCTGCACGACTTCTGCATGACCTCGGCTCGGTTGTAGCCGCTAATCTTGCAGAAGGACTCATTGCAGTAGACGATCGGAAAATCGACGATTTGTGCGTTGGCCAATAGAAACGAGCTGTCCGCTGTAAGAGATCAAAAAAGAAAGAGAGAGAGAGAGAGAGAATGAGAACCAATTTGAGAATGATTCGGTTTCTTGATGAATATTAATTATATTTCTATCGAAAACTTACCTTTCAGTTTGAGAGTAATACTTGTAAGACAAGTTCGCAATAGAGCTATATCAGATACCTTGAGCTATAGTTGGGGCCTACGACTTGTCAGATTTATATTTTGATATATTTCCTTGATGTTTCCTTTCCTAGACAGGAATTGTTAAACTGTTTACCTTAATGAACGCATCTGTTCATACCAAGGGTTAGATTTCGATCTATATATATTTGTATATACGTAATCTATGTGTCTGCATCGACTAACACACATACAGACTGATTGATGGTAAATACATTGGCCAAGCCATTCTTATATGAAAGAAGAGATTTATTTGAAGACAACGCCACTTTCCAACACTACCCAGCACACTTAATTTCGATAATTATTGCTGATTATCGATAACTGTCGCTGGCATTGCTTTGCCTCTGTTCATATTGTGCCCACACTTAAGCGTGTCCGTCTGCCAGTCAGTCAGTCAGTCGGTCTGTCAGCTTGTCATTTAGTTGGTGAAGCAACGCGCATCTATCAAAATATTTGCGCGTAATTGGAACATTTCAAATGTTGTCATTCATAATAAAATGCCATTTGATAGTGCAGCCCGCCACACCCAATTCTCTGCTCGCCTTCCAGTGCTTCCTTCAGTCAGTCAACTAATGGCGGTTGCTATTGGCCCTGTTCTTGTTGTTGTTGCTGCTGTTGCTGTTGCTGTTGGCCAATTCGGGTGCAGGTAACGTGTTACAACGAACCGGGTACATGGTACATGTGTTTGTGAAAACCACGCGCTGGCATCGCATGGCTTCCAAAATGACATTGCCTGACTTCATGTTTGCCTTTTCCGAAGGGGACCTTCTGGTTACTGTTGTTATTGCAAGTAATTGCTGTGGCACACGCACACACTCACGCACACACTGTTTTATGGAACTAGTTACTAGTTCCAAAGCTACACAACGCTTTAATATAGCAACTAGTTGGAGCTAGGATTCACTTGCTTGCACGAACTGAACTCAATTCATCAAAAATGTCAGCTTATGTTTACTGAAACTTTTGCGTACTTCCAATAGCGCAACAGATAAAAAGTGATTCGGTTCTAACTCTTGTGGTTCATGAACAAAAATGTTCCACTTAAATACGTGAACAAACACTTATAAGGCCAATCATTTAAATTGCATTGAAGTTCAGTAAGTTACGAAATTAAAAATCAATTGATTTGCTATAGAAGTTAAAGTCCTTCATAAAGTTCAATAGAACTAGTTGGCAGTTCCGGAAACGTTGTAAATGGTTCAATTCTGAACGGGTTTTCTGCTAAAAGACATATTCAACAGAATTTGTTTTCCCTAACACTTGCATAAACAATCGCGAACTGCATTTAATGGTTCGGGTGCCCAAGCATAACCCTGAACGGAACTAAAGATCATGATTAAGGAACCTGTGTGGTGCCCTTTATAAAGCTAATATCGCGAGCTATGCAAATATATTTGCCCACTTCGTTAAAGCTTAATCTGCTCCATTGGCTGCCAATTTGCAGCAATACCATTTACTTAGATTATAAACTAGCTGGAGCTCGTATGCGTGTGTCTCGGGAACTGGTTCCTTGGAACCGGCGCGCCGAACGAAATGAGCTGCCAAATCGACAACAGTAAAATGCAATATCTTTCGACATGCGACAGTTGAAAATAAGTTGACGTTGAATATCTACTCTATTTTTACAAACACTATATTTTGAGAGGGCGTGGAAAGTGGGAAGGCGACGGAGAGAGGGGGCGGGGGGGAGTGTAGCGATTGCAGGTGGGCGCCAGCAGGTGCCGTGTGCGGTGAGATGCATGCAAAGCGGGCACAAAAGCAGCACAGTAACCCACATACAAATACATTCAACTATTTAGATGCACAATTCACGTGGCCGGCCAATGAATACGTGAGTGTGAGTGTGGGTGTGGGTGTGGGTGTGGGTGTGAGTGTGAGTGTGTGTAAAAAAATATGCACATGCAATCGCTGGCAGTCGGGAATTGGGCAAATGCATATTTATGCGATAGACACATGCACACTCACACACCCTCACCTACACACTCACACACCCACACACACCCACACACACACACACACACAGCAATTACAAGAGCAACAACAACATTTGCTACTTTACAGTGTCAACAGTTGCTGCACGGCCCGGCGCCATCGCCAATGCCTCCGCTTGCCACGCCCACCTGCGCTTTAACTTTGGCTCCGTACGGATCCAAAACGTGGCCTGAATCTGGATTTCGAGTCCGACTAGAGATGAGCGCGTGCCATAAAGCACAAGCGCAGGTAAGCCAAGTAAATATTTCATATATATATAATATATTTACTATTGGAAGGAAATAGCCCTTTTGCGCAAAAGTTGGGGAACTTAATTAGTCCAAATTTGTGTGCATGCGATTTAAATGTCAATTCAAACTGGAGTTAGCCATAAATCAAAAACTTCTTTCACCGCAAAAAATCTAGCAAAGAGCTGTTAGAATGCATTTGAATTTTGTGTGCTTTCGAATCTTCTTCAATTTAGCTTTCCCCAAAAGCTATTTTGACTATATATTATTGGAACAGCGTGTCACGAGTTTAATTGCCAACTATCGGGCACGTGCCCATCGCTAATCGTAACACTTCGCATTCGAGTATGTTTGTTATTATAGTGGCACTCACTCACTTAAGCCTGTGGGTGTATTCGTGCTTCAGTGTGTGTGTGTGTGTGTGTGTGTTTGTGTTTGATTTTGCCATTATGTCAACGTCATGACATTTTACTGTATCAACTGCCACTTGCAGAGTGGACAAGGGAACAGATATGGGCACGCAGGCAGCCAGGCATACAGGTAGTCAATCGGTGGCATAGCTGCACTGTACAACACTACCACGACACTGCAGTGTGCACTGCACAACACTTGATGGCATTCAAAGCTGTTGGCTGGCAAAGTTTTGCAATTTGTGTTTGGGTCATTTGACAGACGCGATTTATTTTTAAGCCCGATGAGCCAGGCGCCAAATTGAGCCAAGGGCGTAGCCGAGGGGATGCCAAATGAGCCAAAGTGCTTCATATATCCAAATGGGTGGGCAATAGGTTTGAGCCATAAGGCTGTTATGAATACAGATTGGGCGCAGCTAAGCTCTAAATGGAGATAAATGCGTTATAGAAAGCGCAGATTCGATTCGCGTTAGCCAGAAAATAGTCATTGTCTCTGTTCAGGGTCCGAACTAGTTCTATGAAGGTGGCTTAGGTTTCTAGACATGATTGAAGAACGTATAAAATTCATGCTAGTCCCCAATGGTAGAGATGTTGGAAGAGCCTTATAAAATGGGAAGAATGGAAGTAGTTGAAATAACATTAATACTACACGGTGGACACGGTAGCAGGACTAGAGTGTATAAAACTAGTTCCATTCTTTTCACTCTGTCCAAGCGGAAGACGAGGTTTTTATTTTCCACACCATTTGGACCCAACGATCTCAGGAACTACAGGCGCTACATTCAGCAAATTTTGTATGTGGCCTGCTTTAGACAAAAATCAAATACTTTTAAGTTTTTTTCAGGCTTATAACATAAAAGGGTAGTAGAAAAGCAAGTATGCTAGATGTTGAATGGGGTGGAAGAAGAGGTGTTTAATAGAGAGCAGTTGGAGTCTCTTCATGATTAACTATATATAAAAATCATAGCTTCTGTTGCACATTGGTGAAATGAATCAAATGCTGCATAAATGTCAGAAATAAGCCGCAGTCAAAGCTCAGCCCGCAGTCAGTTGGTAATTAATGCGAATTTCATGTCACCACAAGCCAAAACGAAAACAAAAAAAAAAAGTGTACAAAATGGAGATAAATAAAGCTGCAAAATGTGAACAAAGAGCATTTTAATTATAATAAATTCAGCAGCAATTTAACAACTGGCCATTGCAAAAGCTCTGGCAAGGATATGACAGGACTCGCACCGGGGCAGGCATCGAAACCATGTGACAGCTCCAGTTGAAATGTCAGCCCTGCGACGCCGCGCATGATTGATGAGCTCCTCTGCTTACTCTAGTTACCCCCCCCTCCACAATACCCTACACTTTAAGCAGGATGTTGGACGGACTGTGTGCGTGGGCGTGGACGTGGGCGGGGGCGGGGGCCTGTTGATTGATTCGACTTTGGTTTTGGATTTTGGTTTTTGTATTGGCTTTAGCTGGTCGTAAGTGGCCACTCGGCAGCAGAAGCACAACAAAACTAGTCCATTAACTAAATACTATATATGCAGCAGACACATACTAACACACACACACACACGCACACACAGACGAACACACACGTTGCGGTTGCAAGTTGTTTGTTGTTGCATAAAACTTTCATTTCCGCATGGACGATGCTGTTGCTGGTGCTGCTGCTGCTCGCCAGGATTTGTGCCTGGCTGACTGCATGCGCCTCCACTTCTGTTGGCCCTACCCTCCCCCGCGACCCGGCCACAGCAGCAGCTGCTGCCTGTTGAAGCCATTTTGTGTCATTATTTTCTGTGGTTTTGCATTTTCCATCTTGTCGTCGTTTGCCTTTTGTTTCGTGCTTGCCACACTCACACACCCACACACTCACACACACACTCACACACTCACACACACACACACAGACAAAAGCTGGTTTTAATGACATTAGCGAGCGTTCGTCGCTTGTTGCCTTCTCTTTCTTGTCCCTACAGCGCGTGCCTTGCAATTATCCTTTATGCCACACACACACACACACACACACACACGTACACACACTCACACACTAACTTGCCACACATAAGTGGGCACTGACAATAGCTGGCTCCTGTTGTCCCTCCAGTTACCCCCTCCTTCTCTCTCTCTCTCTCTCCCTTGCAGCTGCAGCCGCCCCACGCTTTGTTTTTGTCCGCACGGTTGGCGATTAGGCCACAGATTGCCAGC